TTCAGAGTAGGAGCAATCGCAGAAATTCTCTCAAAAGGGGAGGTCACTCTAAATCATCCTCGTAAGAAACGCTTACTGTCACGAGTTGTGTTAGCGATCGGTGTCGTCGCGATGCAGAGTAAGTAATCCGAGCATCATGTGACATAAACTGTCATTGAAGCAATTCAGTCACCTGAGTGGCCTCATTTAAGGGTGACAGATCTGGATCGTGTGTTGGAGGCATACTTGTTTACACGACAGGCACTGAGACTAAGTCACGACAGTGGCTTCAAATTCGTTTTCCACAAAGTGCACGGTTGAATGAGCATTGACAGGGGTGTCCTCAGCTTTCGTTTCACCGGATCGTCGTCGTGCATTGTTGACAATGTCGTTCCTCAGAAGTCTCTTTGTGGTTGGAGTCGTCGTTGTTACATGTTGGTCAGTGTCAGGGCAGTATGTGGTGGAGATGGCAAAAGATTTTGAAGAAAACATGATATGTAAGTATCCTTGATATCGTTTCATAAAATCAAACACCCGTTTATAATCCTTAGGTTTGATACCCATTCACCAGCCCTTCTTCAAGGACAGCTGACGATAAAATATTGACTACTTTTGTCTGTGTTATTTCAGATACATTCGGAAATATAAGTTAGGTGGATACAAACTTTGAGTGCATATATAAACTTTGAGTGCACTTATTCCAGTTCCCTGAGTGTAGATTTATCTCGTATGCAGAAGGGAGGGAATCAATACACTGGACATACTGGCTGCCGAACAGGTATAGCCATATTTTAGCGGTATTTCCAATCTCTGCTGTTTGTTAAATTAATGAAACAGAATAAATATACTTAGTTTTCTCACAACTAACTGTAACAGTTATCGCTATTTCAGAATTTCTCAAGCCATTTGTGAAATAATGTCTATATCATACAGTAACCTCGAATAATTGATTGTGTAACTATTTGAGTGTTTCTTTTACAGTAGATTGATAGAGAATGAAACAAAACTTGTGAACTTGAACTTGCTATTATATAGATCGTGTGACATCCCCCTAACTAGGTGAAAAATTTTTTTTTACAGGGTTCATAACTTTATCTTTAAGTTTTCTTTTGCTGTCCTTTATTGTTGTCAAATACCGTGGGAAAAATACTGGAATTGTAATTGACCGGAACTGTGCACGTGTGATACTGATGTCTTGGCGATAACTGTTACACAGCGGTAACTGTTCGCTAGCCAGTAGAGTTACTCCCCTTCATATCTGATCAGGAGGTCATCGATATCTTGCATACCCATTACACTGCATGTAACAGACTAAGGGTTTGGAATAGTGACTGAAGTCACAAACTGTGATACTGAAATACTAATCATGAAAAGTATCATCAAACTTCCATCATGCCCATAACAAAGATCAGGGCCTTCTCATGACCTATCACAGAAAGGTACCCAAAACATTATTCCAAAGGTTTAAGACTGAAGACATGAGGGCCCTAATTCAAGTGACCCAAGCTAACCGTAAGATTTGACATGTTTGAAGAGAGATTTGATAGCAAACATATTAAAGATATAGTAAGATTTGTAAATAAAGGTTTTGACAGCCATGGCACAGGGCATCAGAGAAACATGGTCTGGTCAGTGAGCTTAATCCTCGATAATCTCCAGGGTATACATTACGATCAATCTCCACTATACCCTGGATGCATCCACTGCTTGGCCCAATAAGTTTTTGACCTCCCTTTGCTGGCTCCGCATTCTCACAGTAGCCAATCATCTAAGCCGCCATTACATCCGAGGTTGTCAGTGTCAACAATGATAGCAGTTGCAGTCGCGAAGGTTTGTTCGCAGTGCCACTCAGATTTTTGGGGAAATAATACAGACAAAAACTCCTTCTCCCTCTTTCAGAGTACCTCTGCATTAATTTTGTTGCCAACTTTAAACGGTTAGATAATTTAAGAAGCGAACGTGAGTTGTGATTGGTTCGCTCAACTTCCCAGCGTAAACACCTGATTGGATAAAAAGTCAGCCAAGGGAGGTAATAACATTATCGGGCCAAGCCGTGGATGCATCCAGGGTATCCCATGCAGGATTTTGACCCCGGATTTTTGGAATGTGTTTTCAACGTTATAGTATCTCAGTTATTCCACGGTATTGCAGCTTGATATGGCCAAAACGTCCGAAGTGAAACATGTTTCAAGCACATTTCATATTGGCACTGTTTTTTGTGATACTCACAACAATATATCTTATACATCGATGCGATGCCACTCAATCCGACAATGGTATGAATGAATTAGGCATTTAGAAAAGTATAATCAAATAATCTGTATCTAAAAAATGAATGTTTTTCTAAATTCCGAATGCAAGATAATCTGTCAAGGCATCTACATATGAATATTTGTATGGTAATCTAAGGCGGCTGCCATTTTAAAACATTGCAGTTTCAAAACTTCATCTTTGCAGTTTCATTATACATTGGCAACCTCTTCAAAATCTGGCTCATGTTTAAGAAGAATTACGACGAATCAGAGTTAAATATTTTTCAAGAATCAGCAAGTCAACGGAGAATTGAATTTTTTAAATTATGTTGTTCCCGAAATGAATAATGCCTGGTCAGGGTATGACAATGACAGGGTATGTGGTTGTCTTGCTGACGTGAGGTCACGTGTGGACGGCCAATGTCTAGTGTTCCCATTATGTTGAAAACGTCTCCATGATGACATCGTGTTTCGATGGACACCAAAATGTCTAGCCGCTTCATTCTGGGCCATTCCAGTCTCTAGCATACCCGCGGCGCGGATGCGCTGCTTTTCTGTAAGCCAAGGCATGACGTACGGACAGTTGAAATTTACATGATTTCTACAACATTCAGAGGCTAGAGAATAATCAAAACGTTCTTCAATTTATTTTCAATATCAGGTGTGTGAACTTCAGGTGTCAAAAACCATGCAAAAAGTGAGAAAGTTCACTGTATAGTTTTGAAATAACTTTTATCTCATGCAAATATATGTTATGCACAGTTATTTGTTTCCGTTAATATTTATTGTGAAAGACGATGGTATTTCAAAAGTGCCAAGGGAAAACAACTTGTTATATGCATGGATATTTACGAGAAATTTGCCAAGAAACTATCTCTCGGAGTGGTAACTCATAGTAATGAAAGAAATGAGTGGATGGGTAATTAGAGCTAGAGAAATTTAACAAAACTTTAACCAGTTATAGTCAGACATATGTGGGTATGCGTTGACCTTGGAGAAACCTATAAGCACATGTGATGTGTTGACAAAGCAGAGTGTAGCTAGATGAATGTTGTTCAATGAAAGTCGACTACATGATATGTCAATGATCAGTTCATCAGTACTTAAAGAACAAATAAACTTTGGATTTTTGTACTCTTTTAACCATTACTTATGAAAGATTTGTGGTTAGTCTTATGCGGAACACCAAATTCATTCTTATTAAACTTGTGGTTAATTAATACCGAGCGATTAAAAGTTGCCAAAAAGTCGCCTGCATCTCTCTTGCCCGCCAACGAAACCACAGACAGGTTACGTAACTCTGTCGCCGGAGCACTGCAGTGACGTCGTGTGCGGAAGGATTTTCAGTTAGTTGTATATAAAGTGTGTAGCAAGCTCGTCATTTTGATGATTTCTCGAATCAACGAAGCCATGCCGAATCGTTGCGTTGTCGTCAATTGCTCCTAGGTGTCGGGCGATGGTGTCACCATCCACAGATTTCCACAGGACCCGCAGTTCGTGCTAAATGGGTTATGTTTGTGAGTGCGAAGCGAGCGTTGTGGAAGCCTGAAACGATATCTTACTTGTGTTCAGATCGCTTCACAGAAGTTAAAGAATTAAAACTACGTACTAGTTGTAGTAAAATATGTATATGATTGATGACCATAAAGATTTTCCATGACACAACTTGTAACATAACGATTTCTTCTTCCGAAGCGAGGTTGTGGTCGAAGTAACAAATATATTGTAAGTAGTACTCTCGCTTCCACAAGAGAAATTGTTATGTAATAAGCTACGTCATGCAAAATCGTATGGGCCATCAATCAAATACGTATTTTACAACTGGTATCCTCAGACTGGCGGATGTTCGCGTCAGGGCGCCCCCATTTTTGAAAATCGTAAAGTCACAGGATATTTAAAGTCTGTTAGAATTAATGAGATTATGGTTTGTTTTCATCAAATTAGAAAATCAAACTACTTTCTACTCGTATTTAAATATGTATTTGAATCATGACCAAAAGGATTTTGCATGACACAACTTGTAACATAACAATTTCCTCCACGGAAGTGAGGTGGGGGTCGAAGTGACAATACTGCGCGATAGATTTCTTGCTACATTCACGTGGCTAACATCCACTCACCAGTATGTAGATACTAGTCAATGTACGTCTTTATATTTGGTCTTATAATCCTAATTAGTTTATTATCATACTTGTATGCATTTTGAAACTAAATAAAAAGCAGACGATCTGCTGATACTTATAGTGAATTTATAACAGGACTGTAATATCTAGACATTTTATAGTTTACCAATGTGAATCATAATTCGCACACACGCCCTAGTGTATGTTGTCTGTCTCATTACACTTCACGGCGAAAACAATGATTCTGTTGAATGCTACGACAAATGACTAAAACAAAATGCAAATATTAAAATTAAAACAGATTAAAGTTATAGGAACAATGTCAGGCTATTACCTTGTTCGAGGAATGTATCCATCAATATCCACAAAAACGAGTGATATGCCATTCATCTGCAGCTGTTCCAAGTGATGTGTCTTTTAACAGTCTAATATACGAAAAAGTGATATATTGTTTCAGGTATTTCACATTGGTGTATAGTCTCATTAGTCACCCATGATAGCACACCTGGCAACTAATTGCATAATGTACGCCGTTCGTTAAGAAACAGTGATTTAGTTAGCCAATAATGAGCAATCAATCAATGTATTGGCGGTTAATCCTTTGAAAGAAGGACGCAGCAATTGATCACGTAGACATTCAGTGTCCTCACACATCCTGAATCTCCTTTCGATGACGTTCAAGGCTCGCTGTCATCACTGCATCTCCTTTCGATGACGTTCCGGGCTTGCTGGCATCATGCTTCACAGGGTCAACAACACTGACCATTGTAAATTCGGCATCAGCTCTCTCCGGCCGTCTCTTTTTACAGACATTTTGAAGTTTCATTTGAGATAAAACCATGAAACCACTGCATATAAACAAAGTCCCAGATGTGTAGAAGGACGATGCATATGTCCCCGTAATGTCGTACAGCCACCCTGGAAGATGATATGGGAAAATATTAACATGATTTATATGTTTATCTAATATCTTACATTCCGTTCTTCAGTGTTCACCCATTAGATCATCTCCATGAACTTTCCTTTTTTCGAATGTCAAAAAAGTTGAGTTGAGTTGAGTTGAGTTGGGCTTTACGTCACATCGGCATTATTCCAGCCATATAATGACGAGAACAAGTCTGCATTAATAAACATTGTAAGTACAGAGTCAAAATGAGTTTTATTTCAAAAACGTATATTCATTACATTCTCATTTAAAAAAGAAAATGGTGATAGCACTAAATTTAAAAGCAGGCAATTTGTTAGTCACATTACACATTTACAATTTATGATACAGATCAACTTCCCTCAGGTAGTTCACTATCAGATGAGCGCTCACGCGGGAGAACAGATCTTTCACATTTGTTGCATCATAATGTGAGTCCCTTGCAGACGATAAGTCCACACAGTCAAGCAGAATATGCTTGATGATGAAAACCTCATCGCAAGAGACACACATGGGAGGTCCATCCCCATCCGTTTTCAGCAGATAGTCATGAGTAAACCGACTGTGGCCAATACGACATCGTCGTAAAATTACCTCATCACGTCTTGACTGACAACCCAAGTAGGTATAAACAATTGTTGGCTTCAATTCATAAAGTTTATTTCTCCCTACTTGAGTGTCCCACCTGTTTTGCATGAGGTCCCGAGTATAGCTTTTGATAGTGGGTTTGAAATCACTGTACGGGATCAGCAGTGGAGATAAGGGCTTGTCAAGAGCTGCTTTAGCTGCAGCCTCGGCTTTTGTGTTACCTGCTATGCCGACATGACCCGGCAACCAGCAGAGGACGATGTCACATTGGCCAGTAGAGAGGTCGTTGTAAAGTTCTAAAATGTCCAGAATGATTGGGTGACTTGAAGTAACATTTTGAAGTGCTTGAAGGCAACATTATGAATCTGTAAAAACGATGAAGTGTTTGGAATGATTCTGCTGTTTAATGTAGGTCAAAGCTGAAAAGATAGCTTTGGCCTCGGCAGTGAAAATGGAACTGTTGTCGGGAATCCTAGAGGAGACAGTCTTAGATCCATTGACTGTAGCACTGGCAACGTGGCCCTCATCCTTGGATCCTATTGATTGTTTGTAAAGGAGTGACGTCCACCTCCAGAGGCTCATATGAGTTATGAACCTCAACAGGTGTAACAACAGGAGTGGGCGTCTTCACGTAAGTGAGAGCCTTTTTTTTTTTTTGCAATGTCTTTTTCTCTTTTCTAGTTACATTTGCATCACCCACAGGTGTACTTTCGATTGAGTCAGATGGTACATCACTGGTAGGATTGTTCGTTTGTGAAGTTGTTGATTTCAGACTACCTTTCGGAGATATTTCAGTGGACTGCTGCAGTACAGTCTGGTCGTCCTTGACCCAGGAGATGTAGGTCTGACACGAAACAGAGACTGTCTTGCAAACTGGAGTGGAGGATGCAATTGCTGCGGAATATGTTTTTACATAAGTTTGAGCAGAAGATGGAACTAGTTTTTTTGCTTCTTGGTAGGTGATGTTATTTGTATGTTTAATTTGTAGGATTTGGGCTTCAAATTTCAAAAGATGGACAGGATTTAGAAGACGCCATGTGATCTCCGTTGCAGTTGGCACATTTGATGTCATGTGTGCACTCAGAGCTGGTTGTATTCCTCCTGGAACACCAAAGGATTTGTTTCAGACTTTTTGCGTTTAGTGAGGGTAAGATCGACCTGTGGTTTTACCATCTGCCAGGGTGGTGAAGACAGGAGTCGGTAAGGTGCTATGACATTGAGATCAATTTTTGCTGCAGATATGTGTGGTTGAATTCTGATTCCAAGTGGTGGAACCAGGCTTGGCAGTTTAGGAAACAGGTTTTCATAGAGAGGGTTGAAAACACACTTGTATGCTGGATTGGACTGATTTGAACGTAATTTAGTGAAAAAAAGACACATGTAAATATTTCAACAGGCTGAAGGATAAGTAGTGTCATCAACTAACCAGATGTTCTCTTTTAAATCGTAGAGTACTGTCACATGTGTCATGAAACACCATATAAAATATTATCGTTAATCTCATCAACGCAATTATACGTGTTACAAGTGCAAACTGTTTGTTATGTGCTGAACGCATCTTCTCAATGAATATAGCACACCTACCTGCAAGTGGGGAACCAACAAATCCAGCAAATCCTTCTGCAAACATCAGCAGACCAAGACCTTTGCCAAGGTGCTCAAGGCCCACAACATTCAGCAGAGCCACTGTCTTCAAACCCGCAAAAATGCCTGCCAAAAAACGAAAATTATTAGCTCGGCTGACATACAGAATTCCAGGTTTACCAAGCACTTCACATTGCAGAAAAGTGATGAAGTGAAATATCAAGACACAGATTCTAAACAGGGATAAATGATGATAGTTGCTCCTGGTGACATGAGAGAGAGAGAAGAAGGAAGGAATCTCAATTCTGGCTTCATCGCATTCCGTTATATAATTTACATGTCCAATAGTAAGGCTGATAAGGTCAGTGACATATACTAGCCACATAAAGAAACTGTGCACACAGAAACTTTCTTCAGAATTGGAATACAACACAGAAAAGACGACATGATGTAGACACTTTATAAGCTGAAGTATCGGGCCTCAACAACATGTCAACAGAACATGAACAATATCCGTAACGATGACGTCAGAAGTTCAAAATTGAGTCGGGGACACGTCGAAGTCACAAAGTCAATAACGGGTATGACCATCATGCGCGTGAAGCACAGCAGTGCATCGACGAGGCATAGAGGCTACCAAATTTTCCAAAGAAGGCCTGGGGAATGGTTTGGGACGTGGTCACTGCCGTCTGGAACCTGTGTCTGATATGAGTCACCCGAATCCATCTGTCCTGTCCTGTCTTGGCGTCGTTACTCGGGGACGCCCAGAACGTGGGTGGTCGGCGACGTCATTACTGTTTCCCTAACGCCTGACCAATGCAGATATCGTGTTACGATGGCATTGGAAATGTGCTGCCACCTGTTGTTGGCTCATGCCTGCTCGAACCATTCCAATGGCTTCATGACGTTGAGCACATGTTAATCTTGGCATGATGTGCATGTGACTTTTCATTTGAATTTGTGAACGTTTGAATTACCAAAGATCCAAGCTTTCGACAGTGACATCAATTTCTGAGTTTCACATGTTGTGTGCAGCTGCACAGGCCGCACGTGCAGTAACACATTGCAAGTACACAGGCCACCATCAATGACGTCACGTCGCCTGGCACCTGCATGAGCGTTTGATTGTCTCCAATACTTGCTATATTCACACCTTTATTTATGCATTAAGACGCTGTCTGCCTATCTTTATATTTTCTGTGTGCACAGTTTCTTTATGTGGCCAGTATATATTGTGCAAGACTGTGGTACATACCGATTGCGACGAGATATAATATGACATACAAAGGTAAATGATAATCTATGACTACGAAATGTTAATATACGTGTTCACAACTTACCAGACAAAGGACCAAATACCACAGCGAATCCTATTAATAATGGAAATGATGTCAAGGAAAGACTCACAATCACAGAGACCCCACAGAGTATGCAGGACCACGCCCATAAAAGTCTGACATTGACACAACTAAAGTCACCAATCCAGCCGAAGATCAGTCTTCCTGCCACACTGGTACAACCAATGAGAGGCAACAACCACGCCACCTGGTGTTCTGGGAGCTGCAAGTCTCGTGCTCGCCTTGGAAGGTGTGCGAAAGGAACAAAAATACCTATTACCGAGAGGGCATTGGCAAATATGAAAAGACAATACTGGAGGTTGTGGAGCAAGTGTATATACCCATGGATCATACCAATCTTGCAGCAGGCTTTGTTTTTACTCTGCAGTTCGGAAGAACCTGAAAGACAAGGTTACTGGTATCAGATATTATCAAAAATATGAGTCGATGGTCTGATAATCGTAGCTGTGTTTCTTTCACCACCATCATCAAATGTTTTATTTCAATATGTTGTACGTAAACATAACGTTTTCTGTAAGCTATTCCCAAACTCCAGTTAATCTGATGTCACAACACCGGATGGGCAATCAAGTGAACAGTGATCCCTGAGTGGGTGAGTGAGATTTTCCGCCGCTTCTAGTAATATTGCGCAATATCACTACAGGGGACACCAGAAATGGGCTTCACCCATTTGGGAAATTGAACCCTTATCCTACCGAGTTGTCAAGTTTACCCACTAAGCTACCCAAACCCCCCCGTGAACAGAGAAACTTGAACAGCGGATTCCCTGATAGAATTAAATCATTTAACTTAATCATTTTAATTTTGCCACGTGTTTAGCCGGCCTCCTTATGAATATATTTCTCAATATTAAGAATCACAATCAGTTATCAGAAAGTCACTGAACCGAATCATACCTGAGTGCGAGATATTTGAAACAGATAAAAGTTATAAAGGATATAAGTCACAGGTACACATAATATGCTGACAACTTTGTGGTATCCCCTCGTAATATTTATACGATAATCAAAGTTTTAATAGACGTAGTCCATGCAGGTAGCAAAGGCACTGTAAGTCTCCGTGGTCCCCAGTAAGGTGATCTACCTTCAGTTGATGGCAATCTATAGCCCATTTTTTATATTGTGTTGTCAATAAACCGTAATTTACTATTATATATGCCCCCAATCTGGATTTTATATCGTTTAAATATATTTCATACATTTCTTATTGACGTATAAGGTTCTCTCGTCCCGTTATGGCTGAAATATTGCCGATGTGACGATACATTTTAACTCACTCACTCACCCATTTGATACACGTAAGTGTACAAGTAAATAATAATATGTGTATTTTGGATTCCATACAAAAGTGTATGCTCAAAGCGCTACATATAAAGGTGATTGGAGGCATAAAACATGTGTACATAAAATGGTTGAAACTTTTGAGGATATGTTTGTTAATCATTGTAGTATTTTCTGAAAAGTATTGTTTCAAGGCACATTTGAAGGAATCAAGCGATGTTGTTATTTTGAGTTCGAGTGGCAGCTGGTTCCATAGTGTTGGGGCTCCATAACTAAAAGAGCGGAAACCAAAGGCTTTTAGTTTCCGTTTTGGGATGACCAATAAATGTTGATCAGCTGATCGTAAGGCTCTTAGTGGAACATGTTTGGTCACCAACTCATTGAGGTAGTCAGGAGCAGTTTCATGATAGCACTGATGGGCTTGACTCCACTCTGGCTCTTATGGGCAACCAATGTAAGGCTCGTAAAACTGGGGAGATATGTTCTCTCTTGGACACTTTTTGGACAAGTGAATACAGCGGTTATCATGTGAAAAGATGGTCTAAAATGTGAGCGTGCTATTTAGTATAACATGTGCAAAAGATATACTCCCTTTACCCTGTAATACAGGAGATGTTTCCCTCTGTCCTTGATTCCGTGGACGATATAAAGATCCACAAACTGCAGCATTGAGTACAACCGCCCCAGAGATCAGGAACATGCCCCTTAAACCGTAGGCTGTGTGGAGCATTTGGAACATTGTGGAGAAAGCCATCATTCCTGCGCCTCCTCCCGATGAACATATCCCATTAGCCAGAGATCGCCGTTTCTCCATGTACTGGTTCACTATCACCTTGGACGGTAAGAACATCAGACCCAGGCCAATTCCTGAACCATATGTATATTTATGCATCAATTCTAATAGAGACCCATAACAATCAGATGTTTGGTAGGCATTTAGAAGTTGGAAGTTAACATAACAACGTATGGCATGGATTTACAACATCTGTATTGTTTACAACACGACGTTTTATTACAATCTTCGCGAAAAGGCTTATCTGTTTGACATTTGTGAGACTGTCGTAATACTAACTGACTGTTATAATACTTTAGAAACTCACCTACTACAACACCGTAACTGATATAGAGGTAGTCAATATTGGTTGCAAACGAGCTGATTACAAATCCTGAAGAAGCGATGACAGCACCACTAATAGTCACAGGACGACAACCATATTTGTCCGTAAGGATCCCTGCCACTGGAGCTGAGAAAAAGTGCCCATTGCAAATATATAACAGAAGACGCTGACCAAACTATCTGAAACAATTGGTACAACAGTTACAACATGTTGCTCTAGTAAGGCTTAAAGCTTACGAATCAGATCTCCAAATAAGTTGGGTAGACAGCAAACTACATTCGAGAGAGGGTATTTGAAGTTTTCTGAAAACTTTTCCCAAGGCCCCGTTTTCAAAGTTATAGTGTTTAGTATAGAGTCCTAAGTCTAAGTGGTTGATTACTATCACCTTATCCCAACTAATGCTCTGAGTAACGGGCCCTTAAATGTCTTATTACACAGCACAACAAACGCTGTGTAATGGCTACGCATCTGGACAAGAATTGCCAGGTGTATGTAGATTAAAGTCCAATCACATCGTAAAACACTCACCTATAAAACTGAGAAGACCCGTTGGAATTGAGCCAATCCAAGCTGTCTCTCCGCGTTTCGCGTTGAAGTATTCCAACAGAAATACGTACATTACACCAAATGATAGATTTATACCAGAGAACATGACGTGGTTGCAGAAGGATGCGAAAACAATAACCCATCCAAGTCTCGAATCTGGCTCTGAGGCTGGTCCTTTCCTTGAAAGCAAATGTTGAGTATGGGTTTCTGTTTCTTCTTCCCTTGACAACAAACGCTGAACGTAAGCTTCTGTTTCATCTTCTTGTTCGTTTTGTGGCAAATTTACGTTCTTGTTTGACATGACTGAAAAACAAAACTAAACAACCAACAACAAATAAAATAGGCTTTGGTTATATTGTAATACGCTGCATGCATATATGTCACAATAGCGTACTAATACTTCCATAGCTAAGACGAAGAAACTCATCCTCAACAAGAATCTCATCCTTAAAAAGCTGGTCAAATATTCATCAAGCGAGCGTTCAGCACGGTCGAGGTAATTCATCAGAATAACATGCAGAAAAGTCATTCGAAGGACAAGATATCCTTTCATTTCTACATCTTAATTTGGAACTGTCGCTTTATTTTATACGCTACTTGTAATCAATTTGCAGCATTGTACCCTATGTGGTAAACCTAGCGGTTTTATATAATTGTTCACTGCATCAGTCAAAAACAACATTTATCTGTATTTGCAACCGACGTTATGAAATTCTGTTTCGCAAGCCTGATTCCCAAATGTGGCTTTGACCTGTATTACACAACAAAAAGTAATATTCCTTCGAATTCCATGCCTTACCTTCGGGCACCTAAAATCTTCTGTCGTTCAAAGATCCTCGATATGTTTTAACTTTCCCACAAAAGCTGAGGCAGCAGTTTACGGCCCTCCTAACAAGCCACTGTCTGTACTGCTTATCCGTACAGTGATTTCAAACGAAAAACACGGTAGGAATAAATACATGTCATGAATTTAAACCCTCAATCATCTATTCAGGTTGCCAGTTAACACACGATGATGTCTTATTGCGAGGATGTTACATTACCCTCAACCGATTTACTCACGAACAGCTCCTTAAGTCAAATGTGATCAAGTCTCTTAAGAATATGTGTGGTTTGTCTCTTGCGTCAATCATAGTTTGCAATTACAAGGACTCACATTATTAAGCAGTAAATCCCAAATTACTGCTTACCCGTGTATCCCACTTAATACTTTTTGAGGGATATTGGTCTTACAAATTTTAAACACGTAAGTTTAAACCTAATGAATTGACTCGTTTTAAATTTGGTGTGCCTGGTTTATCAATTTGAAAGCTGGTCAACACTGATAGGCGTTGAGTTCAAATTGCATGTGGTCAGTGATCGAAGTTGTGTATTGCATATTGTCATTAGCAGACAGGCAGGCAGACACATAGGTGTCAATAAAACAGACATTGAGTTTCGTCTGTGACAGAGGCACATCTATATCACAGTCAGACATTCTGACAATGCTAAACAATGACGTTGCTTTTAAGTATTGAACTGAGAAAGTGACTCGGTTAGAAGAACGTGTGGTGAAATAGTCAAATGAAATGATATAAACAGTTAAATCGGTAATCTACTGTCATAACATGTAAAAAGCTCGCGCCTGTGAAATATCAACAAAACATTAGAAAAATAGCCTACTCCGATTATTCACCACCAGCGAAGGTTTTCTGTCTTGAAATGTCGCTTCCAAGCTGCGCGAACCTATTCACAGCGCATGCGCCATGAGCTCTGTGCAGCGCAGCGCAGCACAGCTGTTGAAACCACTTTTCACCCCAGCTGGGGTGAATTTAGTGAATCGTTTGAACGCTGATTTCGCGGGATTTCTTCATCGCGTTATTTTTCAATTTTATAAGTTGAATTTGCCTTTTGATCATTTGTTACTGTAAGTCCATACCAAAAGTTATCAGAATCTGCAAAGTTGTGGTTTACGTTGCATGTGACCTTTAAGTCACTATCAAGGAGTTTGAAGTACCATAAATCTTATTTGAATTCACTCACTGGATAATTTAGTAATAATGTTGTTTATTGTATTAGTTTCATTTCATTTCACATTGAATTCCTTGCGATAAATATTTCTGAGTTAATTTACTGCCTTAATTCGGTAATCGACAATGAAAAATGTGAGTTCTTGACACATGACGGTTTACAAAGAATAATATTTGCCACATCACGCATACCTATGCCATATCACGAAATCAGTTAGAGAGCAGTAAGAAATGCTAATGACATGCAAATGTGTTTTGACCTACTCATTTCTAAATAAACTTATTTGTGGGATCGTCGTGTTCAGTTAATTTTATTGGAGCAGGACTGGTTCCCAACATCTCATTAGAAGGTCCCAAATATTGGTTTTCGCGTGTTTTATCCAGCTACCATCAATGTAGTCATTCTCTGCGATACGGGAAACGTGTAAGACAGTTACCCTCTCCTGGAAACAATGTACTGATGTTGTATCCAAAATAGGGCAATCTTGCATCCTCTCAACTTACAATTTTAGATATTATTTGGCAATTTACACAGATGGGTTAACGTTCTGTTTATCACCACTTGTTTGCAATACATCGTCCTGAAAGACTGATGTATCACTTCCTGGCGTTATTTTACTCGAAGTCAACCTCGCCTCATACAGCAACTTAGTTCGCCGTACAGTTACACCCATTCGTTCGTTCGTTCGTTGACCCGTGAAGGTCCGAGTTAGAATGAATTTTCAGTAACCCGTGCTTGTCGTAAGAGGCGACTAACGGGAGCGGGTGGTCTGTCTCGCTGGCTTGGTTGACACATTCCACGATGCTCATGCTTTTGATCACTGGATTGTCTGGTCCAGACTGGATTATATACAGACCGCCGCCATATAGCTGGAATATTGCTGAGTGCGGCGTAAAACTAAACTCACCTATTCACTCGTTCGTTCGTTCAGTCATTCGTTGTAGTTTATCTTTGGGTGCCGGTTTACGTCAGCCGAGGTCATCCCACAAATGTTCGATCGGGTCGGGAAAGTGATTGAGTATTGTAATGTTTTCATTCTGAAGATAGTTAACAGTGGCATGTGCTTTGTGTGGCCTGGTATTAGCTTGCTGGAAGAATTCCCTTTGGTGGTCAATGATCGGAACCATGTCAATCCTTGAGATTTCGTCTCTGTACTAAATAGCAATACTGAACCATATATGTCGTCAGTTTTGTAGATTCGAGAATCGAACGTTATTGCACCACTGGACCCGTCGACGTTGGTGAACTCGTCGCAGTACAGGGCCCAAATAGGGTCTTCTGGATCGAAGTCCAGCTTCTCGTAAACTATTTCGAATGGGTTGCGCTGGCATTCTCCTCAAACCAGGCACTGCACTTGCAGTTGCTCTCACGGTTCGATTCCGCAAATGAAGTACCTATCCTGTGCCGGCTGCTTCGAGGCCGATCTTGCGTAGAATTGTTTTGCTGATATCGGTCCCATAAACGAATGATGGTACTCTGGTGAACATTGAGGTGAAGTGCAGATTAAGACTATCCAGTTTCCATTTACAGCAGTGAGTCGCGGCATAACGATATTCTTTCATTTAGCTAAAAGTTCCAGTGACTGTCTAAAAGCAAGTCGGCATTGTAAAGGCGACGTCCCTGCTCATTATTCCTCAGAACTGAACGTGCATATCGTGAACGACTTTATCTCCATGACATTTTCATACAAGTGGACCCTTTCGAACCAAAACGTGCGTTAAAGCTTCCGAAGTTCCGTTTTTGCTCTGTGCATTCGTTCCATATACACAAAACATCATAATGATGGCGAAATTATAACAATCAAACACTAATTTGAAAACAATATTTGAAATTTCATATAATAGCACCCATGCGTTTCTTTTCTGGATGAGTATACATTTGCATACATTTTCGTGAATTAACCTTTTTGTCCCCATGCTTGAGAAATTATACTCTTGTTAAAGGATCACTAACTCCCGGCGTTGTGTTATGAAATGAATCAGGACACACTTTCAGTGATTAAAGTTACAGATGACTGAAATTTGACAATGCCCAGTCAAAGATCTGCCTTTGGAAATTGCTCGATTTAAATACTCCCGGTGCAGTTGAATCTTTCTCATTAAACAAATAGCATAACTAGACAAATATGAACTTATGAAGTTTCACAGTGAAGGGATTTAAAGTCAGAATGAAAATTTGGTAACAGAGATATAAATCCTGTTTTGATCATAGGAAACAGTGAGTGGGTTAAGTTTATATTTCTTTCAGTAATATCGTGACTTGATAAAGTGAAAAAAATTAAAACCAAACATGTAGGTTGTATAAAATCCTATTAGCGAAGGGCAGTAGAATAATTGGACTATCAAATTTTTTCAGTGCGAGGGCTTGTACAAATATAGTAAATTTACGACAGAAAACAAATAGGATACAGACCACCATCAATCATACTATCAGGAATAGGAAACTCCTTCTAATTCTTCTATTTGCTTGGAATTTACAAAATTCCTTGTGCTACTGGGGATTGTACGCAGTTTTAACCATCAAAATGTGCAAATATACTAACATAACTCTAAAGTTGACAGTATTTACTACAGTACTTCAACCCCTATCGAAGGCATATGCACTACAGATATCATATACCACTGATTTACACATATTTAACAATATACATCAAAATATATGAATTTATTATATTTCATTAAACTGAACTATTTATCCTTTATGATGGAATGATCAGTTCAGTCAGGAGATAGCAAAGAGAAAGTGAATCAAGGAACAGCCCTGTCTTACACCGCTGATAGTTTGTAAATATCTGTATATTCATATTGGGAAAATGCAGTACATTCTATTCTTCAATAATGAATATCAAAGTAAATTTGTTTATTCAACTGAAAACATTTTATCACAATTTTCAAATACATTTATACGTTATCCCTTATTCATGGAATAATATGCATACCAAGGAATTTTGAAGTTAATTCAGACTTATATCACACATTTGCAATGTCATATCCACCAAACAAAGTCACCTATAACTATTTAAACAATACGGTTAATCTCTCCATGAAGTGGAATAGGGATTTCGTCCGCCCATTCCGAGGAAATATACATATATTTTCATTATTTCGTTAAATGATTGCAGTAAAACTTGGCATTAATATGTGCGCACAATGAATAATAATATCAGCTTGATGTTATCTGGGCCAGCTGCTTTTGCGAAGTTTAATGCATTGTATGTCGGCTTCCATAGTATGTCATTTATTAACATCTTATCAAAATCATCATCAAAACAACTGTTGCACATGTGTTCATTAAGGTTGTCCATTTCTGACTCAGCGGGTTCGAGAAGGTCATATTCTATTCATTAACGTTCATCTCGTTTTCTGTCTGAACTTACTGCTATAAGATTCTCACTGCCATGGCAAAATTAATGCCAATTTGTGTCATAGCTAGAAACCTACGATATAATTGTCTGTAGTCTCTCTCAACATTGTTGTAGATCACATTCATACGACAGGTATATTTGGTGGTCATTGTTATCTACATTTTGTGTTTTTTACATTGTCACATCCTCTGTACATGTACGATAGTTGTTATGTACGCGTGTATCCTATGTGCCAACGACTATGACAAGGTGTGCAATGTCTGAAACCACCACAGAATCTTTTCCTTGACACGAGGAAGGGTTACTCCTGTAATTCCTGCTACATGTACACATTGTGACTTTGTTGGGGCAACTTGACCCTAACACTTCATAAATTATGTTTTGACACTTTCAGCCAGGGTTTATGGTATGCAGGGGATACACTGAGAGTGAGTGAGTGAGTGAGTTTAGTTTTACGCCACACTATTTTAAATAAATAGATCTAACATTTACTACCCAAAATGTCTGTGCGGTCTAAAATGACGACAGGAGAGCTTTAGATGTTGTGCTCTCACGGGACACACACTACCACACAGGTAAACAGATAGGCAACTTGTGTTGTGAGTTTCTTTGTTTAACGCCGCACTCAGCAATATTCCAGTTATATGGCGGTGGTCTGTAAATAATCGAGTCTGGACCAGACAATCCAGTGATCAACAACATGAGCATCGATCTACGCAATTGGGAACCGATGACATGTATCAACCAAGTCAGCGAGCTTGACCACGCGATCCCGTTAATCGCCTCTTACGACAAGCATGGGTTACTGAAGGTCAATATTCTAACCCGGACCTTCACGGGTAGGACACACTGAGAACATACACTCCCGTATATACATTGGTGAGTAAACATGTAATCAAAATCTGCATTAAGAGGTATGAATAGATGTGAGCAATTGAACTTTATGCTCACAACATATCGATTTTCATGCACATGGTTCAACAGGTACTAGCGGAATTTAATGACGTGACATGTGTGAAGGACAATTTGCATGTTGTGCATATTTTAGTTTTTGAAGGTCGTTACAAACAGAACACAAGCTAAGTCTGATTGTAGTGCTTTAGGTGGTCATGTTGTTATGGAGCAAACCGATTGCCTTGGCGTTCTTAAAGTCAACAGGAAGAGAACATATAGGACTCGTATCCGATTACTAGCAACACGTATTTATGTCTATTCATGCATCTTTTAGGAATTGATTCCACATGGCGGATGTCGTCTTTAGATATGTAATATGACACTCAGAAAGAGTCAAAACAAATTTAAAATATATAACAGAATTAACCATGTTATATAATTTGAGATTTATGAGACATTTGCCTTGACACGACATATTTGTTACTCTGTTATTGGTGATATAGAATAAAACGTAAATGGGTGAGTGGCTAGATATGTGAATGACTTTGCTAATATATGTTAACATCAACACTTTGAACAGAGGTGTTTGCTTTCTAGGCCCAATGTATTTGGGAGGAATGATCAAAGAGTCGCTTGTTGTAGACGTTTATTGCTTTAGTGAAACCCATGCATACCAGAGTGGTGCTGACAAACAGGTAATAAGTAAGGAATCAAAAGTTCGGACACGTGAAATTCGAATCCCCAAAACTGCGAATCAGTGAGTTGCAGGTACACAGCTGTTTCATAAAAGACAGGCATGTCGCATATCAATGATTGACCCAGTCTGTCAACCACAGAGGAGTTGATCAATGTTCGTCTTGCTATGTTGACTTGAAAGTCTTCTGCTCACCACTTTTGGACTTGCATCCCTAGGCCTCTGCCATAAGGAAAAGCATAACACTCAGTGTCAGTGGTCACCCTATCACCCAGCCTCCTGCCTCTGGTATGTTCGAGATCACATCCACCCTCCTACATTAGTGTGTAACACATCACCACAGAGATCACACCGACCTTCCTTCATCTGGTGCGTAACACATCACTTTAGTGATCACATCCACCTTAATCCATTAGTGTGTAACACATAACTTCGGGGATCACATCCACATTCCTCCATCTGATGTGTAACACACCGCCACAGAGATCACATCCACCTTCCTTCATCAGTGTGTAACATATAACTTCGGAGATCACACCCGCCTTCCTCCATCTGATGTGTAACACACCGCCAGAGTTCGGGGATCACACTTCCAGTGCCTTATAACCTCCATCTGATGTGTAACACACCGCCGCAGAGATCACATCCACCTTCCTTCATCAGTGTGTAACATATAACTTCGGGGATCACACCCGCCTTCCTCCATCTGATGTGTAACACACCGCCAGAGATCACATGCACCTTCCTTCATCAGTGTGTAACATATAACTTCGGAGATCACACCCGCCTTCCTCCATCTGATGTGTAACATCCATCGTGTAACACACCGCCAGAGATCACATGCACCTTCCTTCATCAGTGTGTAACATATAACTTCAGAGATCACACCCGCCTTCCTCCATCTGATGTGTAACACACCGCCAGAGATCACATCCACCTTCCTTCATCAGTGTGTAACATATAACTTCGGAGATCACACTCGCCTTCCTCCAGTGTAACACATCACTTCGGATTTGAGATCTCCAGTGTAACACATCACTTCGGATATAACATCAACCTTCCTCCATATGGTGTGTAAGACATGAGTTCGAGGTCCAATCCCCTGTACCACTGATATGACATAGATGACATTGACGTGTTCAGGGTGTATGGGCACCCTCACCACAAATGTCTCCTTCCTCCTGTCGAAGGCATTCCTTCTGCCTTTGGTACCATATCTATTTAATGTGTACCCTCTCACCAAGCTTCCCCCAGCCATATGTATCACATTAGTTTAGGATTGAACCTGATAACGTACATTGTCCTTCCAGGATATGCAACAAACACTACACTTCCCCACTCTGTGATAATTTACCGTCGTTTCCTGAATTCCAAGATATGTTACACGTCAACGTTCACACTCATCACATTTTACGGTGTCCACAACACTGACCACTGTAAATTCGGCTTTAACACTATCCGGCTGTCTCTGTTTGCATGCATTTTCAAATTGTATTTGTGATAAAATCATGACACCGCCGCATATAAACAAGGCCCCAGCTGTATAGAAGGCAGCTGCATAAGTCCCCGTGACGTCGTACAGCCACCCTGTAGATAAATAACAAGCCAACATTGTTATGTGTATCCATTGTTCATTCATCAGATTATACCAATAGTATCTACGCCTCTTTTTCAATGACAAACTAAACTGCAAAAGGCAACAAGGAAAGATGTAACTAATCAGTTTTTTCCTCTGAAACAGCCAACACTACTGAAAATTCTTAAAAACGCAAATGTCTTCTTGAATACATTCATATTTGCGTTTGGCCAAGTTTTCTACTTATACGTCAATTTGTGTTTCAAAAGGCATCTTCACACTACATGCCAAACACTTACCTCCTAGCGGGGAACTGATGAAGCCAGAAAATCCTTGTAAAAACATCATCAGACCCAGACCCTTGCCCAGGTTTTCGAGGTCCACTAGATCTAATAGAGCTACTGTCTTCAACCCCGTCCAAATGCCTGTTAAAGACCAAAATGCCGAATGATATGTATTAGTTTTTGGCGTTACATAACTTGACAGTATTTGAGCACTAATCAGCAAATTCTAGGTTTATCAATCACAAGCAAATATTTGCAAAAAAGTAACGGAAGGATTTTCTGTACATTGTACAGTTACATGCCCCATACACACTTTGCTGTAAATGAAACTCTATATATACTCCCCATCTAATGTTTAGACTCACTAGTGTAAATGTAGCCATTTACTTAAGTCAACTGTTCTAAAATAAATTTTGCAAAACGTTCCATACAGTTTAAAGGTACTGTTTACACATGAACTGATGTATTGTAAAACACATTTGTAACGTTGAAAAGATTATTGTAATGAGTTCAACAAATGATGAAACTCAGTGAAAATTGACGAATTCGTAACAAAACTTTACACCAAAACGCAGCTTTTCACGTGCATGATATTTGCACATGCTTTACAGCAATTTGGTGCATGATCCTCGTGCAATTCATCTTTTCAGTTGGTTCCCCCAAGTTAGTGGAGAAATTCATCTTCGATGTAACCATACATATATACATACCATATAATGAGTGCTTTAAGTCAGTCTAAACTTTTGATGGGTAGTATATATACTGGCTGCACTGAGCAGCAATATGCATGTATTATGGTGACGTTTACTGAACATATTGTGGTTTCGCCCTACCAAGTTTGCGTGTGTAAAGAGATACCTTACGCTTGTGAAACCCGTAAGTCTTCAGATGAAAATGCCGCTACAAACAAACGAAAAGCAATGTGAGTTAAGATAAATGATATTTCCAGTCGTTTATAACTTACCAGAAAAAGGACCATATATCACAGCGAATCCCATTAACAATGGAAATGATGTCAAGAAAGGGCACACAACCACAAGGACCCCGCACAGTATACAGGACCACCCCCATAAAAGCTTGACATTGACACAATTGAAATCACCAATCCAGCCAAAGAACAGCCTTCCTGCGACACTGGTAAAACCAATCACTGGCAACAACCACACCACCTGGTGTTCTGGGATCTGTAAGTCTCGTGCTCGCCTTGGAAGATGTGCGTAAGGAATGAAAATACCTATTGCTGATATGGCGTTGGCAAAAATGAAAAGACAAAACGGCAGATTATGGAGCATGTGTGAGTATCCTTGGATCGGGCTGATCTTGCAGCAGACTTTGTCTTTACTTTGCAGTTCAGAAGCACCTGAAAGACAATGCTATTATTGATTGATTTTAAAAAGTACTCACACTCAGTCGTATGTGTTATGTTGTCTGTTTCGGTTGTTTCATAATGTTATTATTCCATTAACATATATTACACGTATACGTTTTATTGACCACACAAATAACGAAAGTAAGTTTATATCGTCTTTAAGCAATGTATAAGCTTTATTCTGGGTGTGCATATGTATTGTCCATGTAGAGATAGGGAATGAACTTTGCGATTGCAAACATTGTACTCAAATGAGAGTCTCTGGACTATAACCACTGGGTAACCCAGATTATATATAGTTTCATAAAGGTAATTTAAATCAAGATGATGATTTCAATTTCTAAATATAAAATTAGTACATGTAAATGGATGGCCCAAATCGCCCGTTGGTGGGGTAAGAAGAACAGTACATGTGTTGATAAATGTCCATATCATCATCCCTTACCTTCTGATACAGGGGATGTTTTCCTCTGTCCTTGTTTCTTGGGACGATATAAAGATCCACAAACTGCAGCATTGAGAACAACCGCGCCAGAGATCAGGAACATGCCCCTTAAACCGTAGGCTGTGTGGAGCATTTGGAACATTGTGGAGAAAGCCATCATTCCTGCGCCTCCTCCCGATGAACATATCCCATTAGCCAGAGATCGACGTTTCTTCATGTACTGGTTCACTATCACCTTGGATGGTAAGTACATCAGACCCAGGCCAATTCCTGAACGATATGTAAATTCATGCAACCATTTAAAGGAACCATCATTTATGACTAACGTAAATGTATTTGTGCTTAATATAAAGTCGTGTGTAAATAACAATATCTGGTCATTCGTGTGATCGAAACGATTTCATATTTGGAGAAAGGAGGCTGACAGATACTTCATCAGAAGGGATGGAGTAACATGCTCAGTGAGAGATGTCTCTAACAGCCGGCCGTAGCAGTACAACAATATGCTACGGCCACCAAAACTCGGTTAGAGCGTGTGCAATACGTTAGAAACTGCACTTTCCTATTACACTTTGAACTGCATTACGTGTCACGCCCCTGCTTGTGCACACGATCCCTGAAGAGATTGATCTCGAAGGATGTCCTAAATTACTGTTAACACTGCTAAATGTGTTCCCCCATGCCACCCCCTACTTTTACACTTCCACTCAAGAACTGTAGACATTGAGCAATGCTAGAGTTGTGGAAGCCTGCTGATCTTCGGATGACTATCAGAGCTGTTCTGATGAAACCTGGACTTATCTATGTCTGCTGCCAAAGTCCTTTCTTCTTTCATGCTGTCTGCACAAGCTAAACATGCCTGAGGGTCAAAACCATATTTGTGGTTCCTCAGCCGGTTGCGTACGATTCTGTCACAAACTGGTTTCAACACAGGAATTACCAGATTTGTTAATGTGTCAGGTTGGTATCGATTCCGTAGATGTACCAACTGAATAAGGTTGTCCGTTGACGTGACTGTTTTGCGGTTCCATGAACGTGAATTTGACTTCTGTAACATTTCTGTTGGACCACACCGGAGGTGCGTTGATTTTCATTACGCTATGACATTTCTTTACAGTTAAACTAAAGTGTTATATGAGCACTCGATGGCTAAACAACCATGGGATGCTGTGTAGCTTCAAAGCATTAGGTGAGAGACACTTGTTAAACAAAAGTCCTCGCATACCTTCAAACGGGCGCCATGCTTTAACATGCGCATGCAAATTATGAACATGGACTATGAAGTCGACGAAATGTATATATACTGAAAGATGCATTACTCATTCTTCAGACTTTAAATAAATTAATTTACTTTTTCTGTAAGCATACATATGCCCTCAAAGACTGCACTGTTTGTGTGACATGTTTTAATACTTACTAAACGTTTTCATTTCTTATTCGTTGCAACTCACCTACTAAAACTCCGTAACTGATGTAGAGGTAGTCAATACTGGTTGCAAACGAGCTGATTACAAATCCTGAAGTAGCGATGACAGCACCGATTAAGGTAACAGTACGGCAGCCATATTTGTCCGTGAGGACCCCTGTAACAGGGGCTGAGGGAAAGAAAGTAGTTTTAGAAACATATATATGGCGGAGGGACAGACAAAATAAACTGAGACATTAAATCAATGATGTTGTTGTGACAAGACGTTGTTTGTGAACAAAATTCCATATCTGTTCCCCTCAATGCCATTCCCATGTTCGTGACCTCTGCTGGGAGTACAGGCATATAAGATTGATAGGGTGGTCAGTGTCCCGAGCTGGTAGAGTGGGTGTCATCGTACTCAAACGTTGTTGCTCATATGAAACACTCGGTTGTTTATAAACCACCACGACATAGGTAGAAGACTGCAGACTGACTGAGATTAACACATGGAAAAACACGAGACGGAGTCCAGGATTGTACGAATATTGGTTACAGGAGAACACTTCCGGAAAACACCACTTGTACATTTCGTCATACTGACTGACGCGGTGGGGTAGCCGAGTGGTTAAGGCCTTCGCTCTTCACGACGAAGGCCCGGGTTCGATTCCCCACATGGGCACAATGTATGAAGCCCAATTCTGGTGTACCAGGTCGTGATATTGCTGGAATATTGCTAAAGGCGACGTAAAGCGAAACTCACTCAGGCACCCATACTGTCCAAAGGTCTTTTGAATATGATCGTTTGCTCACAATGTATTCTATTCTATTCTTATTTGTATTCTACACTTTACGTGCTGTCTGTGCAGTTTGATCTCTATGTTTGTTCATCTTCGAACTTTAATTTCTTTTCAGTCTCTTCAGTGCTGTTTTTGACGGGTTTTTAACCTTTATGATTAAAGCTAATTATTCACCCTAAACGATTTTCGAGCTAACAACTGTACTCGACTTATATGAGATATGGAAAAGCAACCGGAACTACCAACAATTCCCCACCAACAACTCTCTACCTTAGGCTATTCTATATTATTTATAACTTCCCAACTCAAATGTAATTACACATTCCGCCCCGGCAAGATGTCAAGTGCAAATCCATAAAGGTGCGTGCAAGGTTTATGTTAAAGAGAAGTCCTAACATATGCCAACTAAAGATATATTCGAGACTATTCAGACGACACTAGCTTTCATAACGGAGGCACAAGTGAAAGGACCAGTGTCATTACGTCTGTACAAGAACTGTGTAACATCAACTGTGAATTTGGAGAAATTATCAAGCATCAAATAATTTTTCATAAACTAAAATACTTAAATACTAGATACTTATTTGTCTATAAGAGTTACTGTAAGTCCCTATGGTCCTTGTTTTCATCGCTATATGGCTGTAGTATTGCCGATGCGATGTAAAATTTTAACTCACTCACTCAAAATATAGTTGTTTGACAGCAGCATAGGCCTGTAAGCTAATATTTACAGTAAAATATTTCTGGTTCAATTATTATCAGTGGGTAGTCATTTTGATAATATGTTAAGACACAGGATACAAAATGCAAAGCTACGTGAACTACAATATTTGTGTGTTTTTGTGTTTGTGTTTGCGGCTTAAAAGGTGGAACGCTTGCGTCACAATGTTTGTTCGTTGTTACATGTCGCACATCTCAATGACTGCAGTCTGTAATCGAGGCTGGACAGAACAAACCAATGTTTGATATCATGATCATCGATGTTATGTGTTTTTTGCGCTTATTCAGTGTAGTTCTGCAACGCACAATGTGATTAATAAAATATCGATTCCGTACCAGACCGCCAAACCTTTCTAGCGGCAGAGCCTCGTTTTGAGATTTCCACGATTTCCAGTTTTCCGTTTGTCAGAGCTCGCTGTACGACAGAGCACGCTGCACAACGTTTTTGCAAGCATTAGAAGGAGCATAGTGTTGCAATTTACAAGTGCTTAGATGTATCAAATAAAACTGATTAATATTTATGTATCCAGTTAAATGAATTGGTCTCAAAATTCTGGACTGGTTATTGTACTAAGTTGCGCAATAGGACGGAGCCCAGTCAACAGGAAACGAGACTGTTGTGTAATCAATGTTTTGACTTGTACGTGACTAGACAAAAGTTCCAAAGTAGAGAAAATTCCAACTGCACGTCTTAATACTCACCCACAATACTGAGCAGGCCCGTTGGGATTGAGCCTATCCAGGCTGTGTACCCGCGTTTCGTGTCAAAGTACTCCAAAAGAAAGACGTATATCACACCAAACGATAGGTTTATACCGAAGAACATGACGTGGTTAAAGAAAGACGCGAAAACAATAATCCATCCCAATCCTGAATCGGTCTCTTCAGAGGTTTGGCCCTTCTTTGCCAGCAATGGTTGTACTCGAGCATCTTTTTCATCTTGTTCTTCTTCTGTCTTTTTCAGATTTTCAAACACGCCACCTTCAGACATTACTGAAACAAGAATGGAATAAAGAAATTCAAATATAACAGGAACTTCATAGTGATATTGTTCTACATACGTAGCACGTTTCTCAGAATACGCAAACTAAGATGAGGACAAAACCAGGCAAAAGGATAGGCACATCGGGCATATGTGTTTTTAAACAGCTTCCAGCACTTTCGCTAATGTTTTAGGCGGCAAGCGCAGAATCTGAATTTAACGTCTGATTGTAAGCAACCCTTCTGTTAACCTATTTTCTCTTAAAGGCACTATTTCACACCACAATGCTCTGATAATAAATAATGCATCTCTCTCAATAATATTAACTATCAACCCTCAGGGAAGCTACATTTATATAATTTATTCCTAAAAAATAATACGTAGTTTAGATTACAATATTAAATTAATAAGTTCGAATCAATTAATGCAACGTTTCATTAAATCGACTCTCGTGCCCTCTACCGGCCGAACATTATTTCACGCTAACCCCAAAGAGTTATGTCCCTTGAAGCGCTCTTTACGAATATCCTACGCACATCTTGTGATTGTAACCAGTTCGGCAAACGCCGACAGCACTATATATAATATAGGCCAAAATATTGTCGAAAATGTGTGACATTGTAACACCTGCTGTCGGTGTGATGAGGTGCGTTGGTTTCGCGCTCTCTAAGAAGAAGACACAGACAATCCAAATTTCGGCGCCTTTGCAGAATATGTGAAAGGACAGTGAATTGTGGAGGGAAACCACGAACGACCAGCTACGTCAACATTGTTATTCAGGCGTCAGTAAGCGGCAGCCAAGCCACCAGAACCTGTTGAAATTTACAGTACTATAGGTAGGTTATAAATCTCCCTGTATACCCTGTCAAATTAACACGCACGCACGCACGCACGCACACACGCACCCATAGACGTGGGATTTAAAGCCTGTAACAAATAAGAATATACGCCTACCACTGGTCACCTGTAAAACAAGGTTATTATGCGATATGTTAGGAGAACTTTAGTTAAGGAACAACCTCGGAATCTACAGAACTGGTAGTGTTCTAGCTATAACTACTGAAAATCTACAGTATCATATTACAACTGGATCTGCCTTTGAAACCTTCGTCTAACGTTGTCACTAGCATGGTAATACTGGTTTAAACACTACCCTCAAGGGGGTAACCCGGTCACCATTTGATGAAAACATATTCACGTTGCAAAAGAACACGCAAGACTGGTCATTATGACAAAGCATGCTTCACTCGGGTCGTTGATATATTATTATTATCATTTTATTATTATTATAGGATATTTATAAAGCGCACATATCCAGGCAACTAGTACATGCTCAAGGCATGGTGCCGTTGTTTAAAACAATCTTAGCGCTTCGAGTCTCGTGTTCTTAAGGTATTACACAGTGGCCTTGACACTTGAGATCGATTTATTCAACGGCCCCAGAACCTTAAATCGTCAACAGGGTAGTGATAAAGTCTGTGAAGGCATTTACAGGCGATATACATAAAACTCAAGAATTAATGGATATCAACTTCTGTATTTTAAGGAGAACAATGCTTCGAGTACGTTCTTACACCTTCATCAGGGGAATGAAAACACCAGGAAACAGATATAGGTACATGTGAAACAACAACGGGGACAGACATTATCTATCAAAGGCTTTGCTCATTGTATGAAATGTTTCCAACATCAGCAAGTATCTCCCTCGCTGAAGATGCGCCAGGTCCTATCTACACATTCCAACTTTAGACAAACCCAGCATTGTACTTGTACAATGTTCTTAAGATGGGTAAATATCAAGGTTCGTTTTCATGACACTTTGACTATATCTGCAACATACCTGCTTGAATGACCTAGCTGCCCCTCTTGACTCTTGTCGGGTCCAGTGTCACGGTTGTTTATCCCCCACCTCAAGATGATGACCCCCTCCTGACGCCTCCGGCTGAAGATTAGGAGGTTAAAAGGTCATGAACTGACTCCCCGCGCTGACTGTATTTTATCATTGTGCCATCTCGCTTCAACACCAGGGGTAAATGCAAGCGATTCACGGATCGCTTTTCACACGCTAGTTTTAACAATCTTCAGCATGTGTAAGCAGATAGGATGGTACTTTGTTTACACCACTGGGTTGTTTCTTTGAACAGGTATACTTCTTCATCTGTACCTGATTAAGTAGGCACGGTCAATTCCACTGCACAACTGCCGGGGGCAGTCCAACGTTCGGCGTGTTTGTCATCATTGTATATAAGATATCACCGTAGCTAATGCTAAGCCTCCTTTGTATGATACTAGCGGTACTGCCTCTTCTACTTGGGCAATTGGTAGCCCAGTGGATATACAGCGTTCCCTCGTCACGGATTCGATTCCCCATATGTGTACAATATGAACAGTCCGTTTTGGATGTCACTCGACGTGGGATTGCAGAAATATAGCTCAAATCGGTGTATACTCTCTGTCTCTGGCTCTCTGTCTCTCTCTCTCTCTCTCTCTCTCTCTCTCTCTCTCTCTCTCTCTCTCTCTCTCTCTCTCTCTCTCTCTCTCACACACACACACACACACACGTAATCACTCTCTCTCTCTCACACACACGTACTCACTCACCACTCACCCACTCACTCGTTCACTCACTCACACTCACGCACGCACTCACGCTGAAGGGGTCGTTGTCGGCACAGGTACTACAGATATGTACCCCAGGTACGTTTCTGTATACAGATATGTACCCTAAACAAAGTCATACTACAGAAACGTACCCGGTACCCTAAACGACGGACGAGTCCATATTCCGCGACCCAATACCGAAACCGTATGTGGGTATTCCCGTTCAGCTGATTGCGAGTGGTGTCCGTTGTGCACCGTAAAATATTCGTTAAACTGTGTATGCTCTTATATAAGGCAATCAAATGCATCTAATACAACAGTATGACAGTTCCGATCAAGAAAACTCCACAATGCAGAATGGAATCGTCCTAGGGTACATTTCTGTATTCTGATTATGGCCAGGGTACATTTCTGTATACAGAAACGTACCTGGGGTACACATCTGTAGTAACCGTGCCGACAACGACCCTTTCAGCCGCGACCCGTGAAGATCCGGGATAGAATAGGTCTTCAGCAACCCATGTGCTTGCCATGAAAGGCGACTATGCTTGTCGTAAGAGGCGACTAACGGATCGGGTGGTCAGTTTCGCTGACTTGGTTGACACATGTCATTGGTTCCCAATTGCGCAGATCGATGCTCATGCTGTTGATCACTGGATTGTCTGGTCCAGATTCGATTATTTACAGACCGCCGCCATATAGCTGGGATATTGCGGAGTGCGGCGTAAAACTAAACTCACTCACTCACTCACTCACCTTTCAGCCGCACTTATAAATACATTTCTCACACAGTCACACTTGTCTAATATCATGAACAATCTGCACAACTAACATACGATGGCATGCATCAACCAAGTCAAGCGTGTTTCTGACCACCAAATCCCGCCACTCGCGTCTTACGACAAGCAAAGGTTGTTTGGTGGAGGCAACAGGATTTATAACATTATGTGAAAAATGGAACGTCATTTTCTAAAGATGTGAATGAAGTGGACTTAATATTGAAACTGAATGGGAAACATATCGTTCAGACCCTCTATCAGTTTTCAGCACTTTCGTCTAAAGTTATAACATTAAGACCTCGGACGTAATACTATTGTAAAGGTACTTACTTTAAATATGTGCGCGTAGGTACATTCTTACTAAAGATAAGATACATCGAAACTAAATATGAGGTCAATAGGTTATTGCAAGATTTCAAATCATAGTTATGTTTCAAATAATCAGGTAGTCTAAATGTGAACTGACAGCTATATGTAGGTACATTCAATACGTCTTTCAGAGGAATGGGTACAGACGTGTGTACGTTGAATATAATTTAATAGTTAAAATTATCTCGTATTAATCACGTAATGCTAACCTATGAAAATGACCTTTTTCACAGTTCGGACCTACTCCGTTTGGCATTTCGTAACAAACTTAAAATTAACTTGAGACGGAACGAGATGGTCATCCTCCATCTATTCGTGGGCACGTACGTGTATGTTCCATCACGAACTGTTTGAAATGGATATAGAAATACCTGTGACACATTAGCATGTTTCGGTATTATGTATCAGCCTGACACGTGGAGGACTTGGGTATCTTGTATCAATATAAGCTTCATCAAAGAAGGGCTGGTTTGTGGGTCACAACAATATGATACGGTTCCTGTCTAAGAATGATCCATAACACCCATTCTGTCACTCTAGGAATTGTGGCATCAAACATCAGTTTTGTGTGTGTGGGTCATTGGTTCAAATGCGCAAATTAAAACCAGTAAAGAAATAACATGGGCCTGGTTTTCATGAACTGGCATATCAATGCTTTAGCAGTTGTTATTACGTCATACAACGAGCGCTACTCTCTATAGGGGCGGTGGGGTAGCCTTGTGACTAAAGCCTTCGCTTGTCACGATGAAGTCTCGGGTTTGACTTTCTGGTGTACCCCGCCGTCATATTGCTTAAATATTGCTAAAAGCGGCGTGAAACTAAATTCACTCACTCACTCTCTATCGGTTTACATTCATTGGTCATAATTTTTACTTTCCCTCACGTGGCCAGGTGTGTACCATTTTTTGACGTCATAGTACCCACAGTAAACCTCGTCTTCACAGTAACTGTGTTCGCCGTGGAGTTTACACTGCACTGCCAAGGTGTACTCGGGTCGCCATAGACATCGTATGTAAACCTTCCCCTAACAATAGACCTGTAAGACTGTGGTGTATCTCGAGTAGACATAGACCTGTACAACTGTGGTGTATCTCGAGTAGACATAGACCTGTACAACTGTGGTGTATCTCGGGTAGACATAGGAATGACCCTGTACAACTGTGGTGTATCTATGGTAGACATAGACCTGTACAACTGTGGTGTATCTAGGGTAGACCTGGCCCTGTACAACTGTGGTGTATCTATGGTAGACATAGACCTGTATTACTGTGGTGTATCTATGGTAGACCTGGCCCTGTACAACTGTGGTGTATCTAGGGTAGACATAGACCTGTACAACTGTGGTGTATCTAGGGTAGACATAAACCTGTACAACTGTGGTGTATCTAGGGTAGACCTGGCCCTGTATAACTGTGGTGTATCTAGAGTAGAGCTTACCCTGTATAACTATGGTGTATCTAGCGTAGACTTGACTCTGTATAATTGTGGTGTATCTAGAGTAGACCTGACCCTGTATAACTGTGGTGTATCTAGAGTAGACCTGACCCTGTACAACTGTGGTGTATCTCGAGTAGACATAGACCTGTAGAACTTTGGTGTATCTCGAGTAGACATAGACCTGTACAACTGTGGTGTATCTAGGTAGACATGGAGCCTGTACAACTGTGGTAGAGAGCTGACCCTGTATAACTGTGGTGTATCCAGAGTAGACTTGACCCTGTATAACTGTGGTGTATCTAGAGTAGACCTGACCCTGTATAACTGTGGTGTATCTAGAGTAGACCTGACCCTGTATAACTGTGGTGTATGTAGGGTAGACCTGATCCTGTATAACTGTGGTGTATCTAGAGTAGAGCTTACCCTGTATAACTATGGTGTATCTAGCGTAGACTTGACTCTGTATAATTGTGGTGTATCTAGAGTAGACCTGACCCTGTATAACTGTGGTGTATCTAGAGTAGACCTGACCCTGTACAACTGTGGTGTATCTCGAGTAGACATAGACCTGTACAACTGTGGTGTATCTAGAGTAGACCTGACCCTGTATAACTGTGGTGTATCTAGAGTAGACCTGACCCTGTATAACTGTGGTGTATCTAGAGTAGTCCTGACCCTGTACAACTGTGGTGTATCTAGAGTAGACCTGACTCTGTATAACTGTGGTGTATCTAGAGTAGACCTGACCCTGTATAACTGTGGTGTATCTAGAGTAGACCTGACCCTGTATAACTGTGGTGTATCTAGAGTAGAGCTTACCCTGTATAACTATGGTGTATCTAGCGTAGACTTGACTCTGTATAATTGTGGTGTATCTAGAGTAGACCTGACCCTGTATAACTGTGGTGTATCTAGAGTAGACCTGACCCTGTACAACTGTGGTGTATCTAGAGTAGAGCTTACCCTGTATAACTATGGTGTATCTAGCGTAGACCTGACTCTGTATAACTGTGGTGTATCTAGAGTAGACATAGAACTTTGGTGTATCTCGAGTAGACATAGACCTGTACAACTGTGGTGTATCTAGAGTAGACCTGACCCTGTATAACTGTGGTGTATCTAGAGTAGACCTGACCCTGTATAACTGTGGTGTATCTAGAGTAGTCCTGACCCTGTACAACTGTGGTGTATCTAGAGTAGACCTGACCCTGTATAACTGTGGTGTATCTAGAGTAGACCTGACCCTGTATAACTGTGGTGTATCTAGGGTAGACCTGACCCTGTATAACTGTGGTGTATCTAGAGTAGACCTGACCCTGTATAACTGGTGGTCTGTATCTATGGTAGACTGACCCTGTATAACTGTGGTGTATCTAGAGTAGACCTGACTATGGTGTCTCATACCTGTACAACTGACCCTGTATAGACCTGGCCCTGTAACTGTGGTGTATCTAGAGTAGACCCTGACCCTGTACAACTGTGTGGTGTATCTAGAGTAGACATGATCCCTGTACAACTGTGGTGTATCTAGAGTAGACCTGACCCTGTATAACTGTGGTGTATCTAGAGTAGACCTGACCCTGTATAACTGTGGTGTATCTAGAGTAGACCTGACCCTGTATAACTGTGGTGTATCTAGAGTAGACCTGACCCTGTATAACTGTGGTGTATCTAGAGTAGACCTGACCCTGTATAACTGTGGTGTATCCAGAGTAGACTTGACCCTGTATAACTGTGGTGTATCTAGAGTAGACCTGACCCTGTATAACTGTGGTGTATCTAGAGTAGACCTGACCCTGTATAACTGTGGTGTATCTAGAGTAGACCTGACCCTGTATAACTGTGGTGTATCTAGAGTAGACCTGACCCTGTATAACTGTGGTGTATCTAGAGTAGACCTGACCCTGTATAACTGTGGTGTATCTAGAGTAGACCTGACCCTGTATAACTGTGGTGTATCTAGAGTAGACCCTGACCCTGTATAACTGTGGTGTATCTAGAGTAGACCTGACCCTGTATAACTGTGGTGTATCTAGAGTAGACCTGACCCTGTATAACTGTGGTGTATCTAGAGTAGACCTGACCCTGTATAACTGTGGTGTATCTAGAGTAGACCTGACCCTGTATAACTGTGGTGTATCTAGAGTAGTCCTGACCCTGTATAACTGTGGTGTATCTAGAGTAGACATATAACTGTGGTGTATCTAGAGTAGACCTGACCCTGTATAACTGTGGTGTATCTAGAGTAGACCTGACCCTGTATAACTGTGGTGTATCTAGAGTAGTCCTGACCCTGTACAACTGTGGTGTATCTAGAGTAGACCTGACCCTGTATAACTGTGGTGTATCTAGAGTAGACCTGACCCTGTATAACTGTGGTGTATCTAGAGTAGACCTGACCCTGTATAACTGTGGTGTATCTAGAGTAGACCTGACCCTGTATAACTGTGGTGTATCCAGAGTAGTCCTGACCCTGTATAAGTGTGGTGTGTCTAGAGTAGACCTGACCCTATACAACTGTGGTTAATCTAGGGTACACCTGACCCTATATAACTGTGGCGTACCCCATGTTAGCCTGACTCTGACAACTGTAGTGTATCTACAGTAGACCTGATCCTGTGCAGTCAAAATATATCCAGAGTAGACCTGACAGTAGGCACTGTGTTACATTGCAAATTAATTATTAGAATAAGTAACAAAAAGATGTAACATTGTGCTGGCACTTAATTCATTGCTCAACCAGGTTCATTTTATATCAATATTTATTGCTCACAAGAACGACAATGAAATCATATAAAAGTTCGTAATAACACAACACCCAACGCCCAGGTACTCCTACTCAGACGATGGTTGTTCTATGCTTCTAACACGTAGTATTGTCTGTTGGAGTTGACACGGTTAGTGTGGAGATACTCGGGTTCTTCCTTCGTCTCCACATCATTTCAACCTTCTCTTGCATTAGCAAAATCACACTGCTTGCGATGAACATACATCCCATAGTGTAGAAGGAAGCAGAGTAATCTCTTGTGGCGTCATATATCCAGCCTGAAACAGCAGTATACCACCGATGTAATCTGGTTTAGAAATTGAAGAATATATAGTGATCCAAAATGTGGGGTGTCAGCTATTTCTCCCTTTATACAAAATTCATTCGCTTTTCAAGTATAGTCAAGACTGAGCATTCTTTTGATCTGATGAATAGTGTTTAGATAATTCCAGGGTCGGTAGGGTAGCCTAGTGGTGAACGCGTTCGCTCGTCACACCAACGACCCGGGTTCGATTTCGTACATGGGTATAATGTGTGAAGTCCCCCGCCGTGGTATTGTTAGAATATTGCTAAAAGCGGCGTAAAACTATACCTACTCACTCACTCTCTAGATGATCTCTGGTGTCCCCTGCCGTGATATTGCCGGAATATTCCTAAAAGCGGCGTAAAACCAAACTCACTCACTCTAGATGATCTAGTTCAGATTCGATCCTTCAATATCAAAAGCCTCCTTTAAATAAAGAGTTATCTTAATTTTGTCAGCAGTGTTGGTTTGTTGATATGAGAAAAATATTATGAATGCAGCACAAAACTACCCTCACTTAATGTGTTGTGCTGGTGCCAAGCAAACCCAACTCAACTGAATGTATAATGTAGACAAACCTGCTAATGGTGCTCCCAGTATGGCAGATGCACCTTGAAACAGCAATACGATACCAAATGCCTTGCTGAGGTTGTCGACGCCAACAACTTCTACCAGAACAACGTTTCTGGTACCATAGAACACACCTACAGCGATAAGAGGGTAAAATGTAGAAACATGATGCTCTAGTCCACACATGGATATACTGAGTAGGAAATAACATTATTTGTGCGTCGTGAACATCGTTTTAGACCAGCGTCAAAACTATTTACTTTCTGTCAATAGTTATTTGATAATAATCATATTTTTCCCAGACAAACTAGTGACTAATAGCACCCCGTTTGTCTCTCATACCCGTTACCAATTATATTTATCTCGCCGTAACATACCAAAAGACTATAAAGTAGGGTACATATTGTTAACTTGACTACAATAGGATACTAGTACAGGCCAAACCGAAATCAGTGTACTGTGTTTGAGTTGATGCATGGGCCAGAATAAACTTATAGTTAGTCTCTGAAATCAGCATAGTTTACAGAAATAAAAGTTTTTAATCTAGACTTGCCACACATTCTGTATTTGCATGGGCTGCACTGGGTATATTTGTTTCAGGGTCTGACTCTGTATGACAGACTGGGGCTAGCACTATAAAACAGGCTTTAGTCCATACCAATAAAAACAGACACACGCACGGACACATGCACATACGCATGCGTGCACACTCATCCTTGTAGAAGTGTCATAAATAAACCCTACCTTATTTCGTTTCCTTAATAAAATCTTAGCATATAATTTCCATTTAACTCCCTGTTTTTCTAAATTATCATAAGAACCCACTCATTTTACTTACGGGTCGGCGGGTTAGCCAGGTGGTTAAAGCGTTCGCTCGTCATGCTGAAGACCCGGGTTTGATTTCCACATGGGTACAATGGGTTAAGCCCATTTCTGGTGTGCCCCGCCCTGATATTGCTGGAATATTGATAAAAGTGACGTAAAACTGAACTCACGCACTCATTTCACTTACCAACGAAAACTCCAAACACCACGGCGAATCCGACCAGCATGGGGAAGGTTGTCAGGAACGGACAGACAATGGTACTGATGCCGCATATCATAATTGCACTTGCAAGCAGATGTCGGTTGTTCACCCACTGGAAATCTCCCAACCAGCCAAAGAATAATTTTCCAACAACACTGGCAATACCAATGATAGGCAACAACCAGTTTACCTCAGTCTCTTTTACCTTCAAGTCTGTTGCCCTCCTCGGTAAATGAGTGTAAGGTGTATAAAGTGCATTTATTGCCAAGCAGTTGGATATCATGAAAAAGCAAAAGGGAATGTTCCGGAAAAGTTTCGTGAAGTCATTCTGGCAACAGGTCCTCCGAAGCGTAAAGTTTCCTGTGACAGGCATTTCTGAATACAGAAATGCATTTGCTGGTTATTGATAAATTCGGCATTTCATTAAAGAGAGTAAAAAAAGGCAAATGTGTACAGCATAAAATTGCATAAAATATGAGTTTAAATAAACATGAAGCAAAGCACTTTGCATGAAATTTGATGTCACGTATCGCGCGTGGCACGTGCACTTTGTGCACAATGAACTTAATCACGTCTTGCATATTTTTGAAACATGAAGTTCACACACCTGCTCTTGAAAATTGGAGAACGGTTGATTATTCTCTTGCCTCTGAATGTTTTGGAAAACACGTTAATTTCAACCTAAACAGCGCGTACGTCATGCCACGGCTTACAGAAAATCAGCGTCTCCGTGCCATGGGTATGCTGGAGACTGGAATTGCCCCAAATGAAGCGGCCCGACATTTTGGTGTCCATTGAAAAACGATGTCATCCCTGTTTTTCAACACAATGGGAACACGACAGATTTACTTCAGACCGGCCGTCCACTCATGATGTCACGTCAGCAAGACCATCACATTCTGCTAAACCCATCTAAGGAATCGATTCCAGACTGCCAGTTTGACTGATCGGACCATTCATGGCTTCAATCAATTCCAGGACTGTACGGAACCGACTCAGGCAGCACTACATTCGTCCCCGACGGCCAGCAATACGTCCAATTTGGCTACAACGTCTACGGCAAGCACGTCCTGCCTGGTGCAGACAGCATGTACAGTACAGGAGGCAAGATTGGGATGGTGTTTCGTTCACTGACGAGTCGAAATTTCATCTGGACAGCTAAGATGACAGGACAAGGGTGTACAGACGGCAAGGTGAACGGTATGCTGACGCGTGCGATGTTCCACGTCGACAGTTTGGTGGTGAAGGCGTTATGGTATGGGGTACTTGTCATTGTCGATGGCAATCTGACAGATCTGCGATACAAAGATGAGATCATTGAGTATTATGAGTAGCCGTTCATTCAAGATCCGGGGAGAATTGATCTTCAGTAGCCCATGCTTGTCGTAAGGGGCGACTAACGGGATCGGGTGGTCAGGCTTGCTGACTTGGTTGACACATGTCATCGGTTCCCAGATCGATGCTCATGCTGTTGATCACTGGATCCTCTGGTCCAGACTCGATTATTTACAGACCACCATCATATAGCTGGACTATTGCTGAGTGTAGATCGATGCTCATGATGTTGATCAAAAATATTTTCAGACCGTCGCCTCATAGCTGGAATATTGCTGAGTGCGACGTTAAACATCAAATAAACATATCACATCAGAGATACCAGTAATGAAACACCACAACAGACATTGTTTACCAGCACCTATCGAGGACATCATAAACGTGCCCTGTCTCTTCCCTGAATTTCCAAAACTCGCTGAACATTACGACTTGAAAAGCAACAGAGCCCGGTTTGATGACTGTAACGAAGCTTTAGTATAGATTATTGTCGCGTCATATCGCAACAAACGTATCAAGGCAGGTACAATGAATCTACCTTGGGCGGTTTTCCTTTTCTTCTTCGGGAAGAAGAGTCCACCAAAGACAACCCCGTTAAGGAGGACGCTACCCGTGATCAGACTCATACCCCTCCATCCGTATGTGTTGCTAAGTTGGTGCAGGGTGACAGACAGAACGCTACTACCCACGCCGGAACCAGAGGACGAAATACAGTTGGCCAGGGATCTTCGTTGTTTCATATGTTGGTTGATGATTACTTTAGAAGGCACTGACACAAGAGCAAAGGCTAGTCCTGAAATTGGAAGATCACTGTGTTTTCCTTTTGCTATTTTAACAGACTAAAACTTAAATATGTGCTTTAGGATACAAGGTGAAACCAGACTACAAACAGAATATCCTTAAACATGTATGATATAGCTTCAAGCACAATATATAACTGAATACGATAGGTGTAGTTTTCGTGCGTCGTTTTTGAAATCTGCATATATGAAATATGTCTTCCCGAATAGTGAGTGAGTGAGTAAAAATTTAACGTCACCTCGGCAATATTTCAGCCATATAGTGACGAGAAATGTGTCTTCCCGAATAAAATACACAACAGAATCTATAATATTTTGCTCATTTTATGCTTTTATCATTTTGTCCTGTACAAAAATGGGCTCAATGTGTAGGTACATGACTCACTAAGATCCCAATCAAAAGGATTTTCATTCATATTTGGATCTTTTCAGATGGATTTTCATGCATATTTGGCTCACCGAAGAGAACACCGTATGTAAAATACAAAACTGATATGCTCGGGGCAAATGCACTGATGGTAAGACCAAACGCTGCAGTGGCTGCTCCACATATGGTGACAGCACGGCAGCCGTATTTGTCCGTTAAAACACCAGCAACTGGAGCTGAAACAAACTGAATCGTTACTTTCCCAGAGAAGATACCCAAATGCGATTTTCCCATATGTCATCTGCTATAGTAAATGAAGGACAACACATAAAACGCCGTACCTTGCTGCCAGATTGTATAAAAGGAATGTGCGACTCCAAGTGACAATAAATACGTAAACAGACGTTTCATAAATTGTGACGAAACCGCATTATCGGTGGTACAAGGGAGGTTACTCTACCACTACATCTCACTAGCGAGTGTGGGACAAAAACAGAGCTTCAGTCTGTTTGGGTGAAAATGATTCCGACGAATCACTGTCTCCAAATCGGTTCATGATCAAACATTCTGAAGAATGTAATGAAAACATCAGACCAACTCTGGAAAACAGTTTCATAACGTCATAGCAAACTATTATCACTTTTTTCATTTTACGAGGGTAAAGTAACAGTAGTACTATTGCAGGAACAGCCTTAAAGGGGGCACGTGCAATTGTGATGTCACATCAACCATTGCCTATCGATTTATTGATTTATTGAAAACGTACCGATGAATTTCACTCTAAACAAAAAGGCAAATCGAATAAAGGGAAATTAAGATTGCGAATCCTCATAATTTTACCTTGCCAATTGAACATTCAAATCTCAGAATTTTATTCAACTTAGGATAAAAGTTGTTTAACCAACGATCATCGTTTCAAATCGCTATTATTGGTTTGTATTTTATTAGGTATGCACTTTAAATGAAACATCGAGAACAAGTAGGGTTGGTGTAAGTTAACGCTCATCGCGTACCGCACGTGCATTTGATTCACTGTTCTGTCCACTGCGTTCACCCCCTTATAATACAAACCAATAATAGCGATTTGAATCTATGATCGTTTGTTAAACAACTTTTATCCTAAGTTGAAAAAAATTCTGAGATTTAAATGTTCATTTGGCAAGGTAGAATTATGAGGATTCGCAATCTTACTTTCACTTAACTTGATTTACTTTTTTGTTTGAAGGGAAATTCATCGGTACGTTTTCACTGCAAACAGACTGTAGTCAGGGAGATTCACCACACGATCACATAAGTCGCCTCTTATAAGCTTCACGGGGTCTTCACGGGTACGTTCATATGAGAACATTGAAAATGGAATAAATAAATACATAAAGTAGCATCGATCTACACAATATTATGATACGATAGTATGTGTCAACCATGTCAGCGAGATTGTCCACACGATCACGTTAGTCGTCTCTTATAAGGGATATTCAGGGGTACATTCATAGGAGAAAATTGCAAATGCAATAAATAAAAGTAACACATAAAGATATACATTTAACCATCTAACTGAGTACAATCTAATGTATCCTCGGTGAGGAGGGCCCACCTGCTACACTCTGGAATCCAAACACTAATGATCCGACCAGTGCTGTCTCCCCTCGTCCTTTGTTGAAGTAGTCGAGAAGTTTCTCGAAGATGACCCCAAATGACAGAGCAAGGCCATGGAAAAGAGCATGGATGCCAAACGAGGAAAACACCACAATCCAACCAACCAAGCCATCGGTTCCCGTGTCATTTTCCTTTTTGTCCTTACCACCTTCATCAGCTTCATCTTTCTGATTTTGTGGTAGGCTCAATTTCTCTGTGGTTTCTGCATCCTCTTGTGACATGGCAACCAAAAGCAGGATGTCCACGTTCTAAAAATATATTTACATGTGAGCATCAGCTGGGGCCTGATATGATCACGGTATGTTATTTTCATATTAAAATGTGTGTCACATTTGTGTGGTGTCCGTTTGCCATACACATTCCATGATTACAACATGTGATATCTGGAACTGAATAATGTATTAGTGCGGAACAGCATGAAAAGGGTTTGTATTGATTATCTCTGCTTCAATAGCTAATATCTGTGCTCTATACTCTATGCGATTCAGTATAAAGGACCATACATATATAGACTCGACGGGCGTAGAATGAGTATTTATTAGATACTTAATTAAGGCACAATCAAACGTCCGAATTCCGCCCCTATTTTGTACATTCTGTCAAAGTGTTGGCAAACAATTATGTCAATATTTTATCGATGCACAAAAGTGGTCCATATACAGAAGTCCAGTTCAGAACATTACCAAAAAGGACATGACAATTGAAGCTGTTATCCTTTACAGCTAATCCCAAATAACAGCTCGCCGACATGTCATCTTTTGTTTTATAAAGCCCCAAACCAACAACATGGCGCCCATCGCAACCATTATGGAAACATATTCTTGTTTTGTTTGTGTCTGTATATGTGTGTTTATAATTACCCTTGCAATGTTACGAAACCCCATGAACTATCTTGTCGTACTTCCTCCATTCCAGACCCGTGAAGGTCCGGGTTATAATTGATCTTCAGTAACCCATGCTTGTCGTAAGAGGCGATTAACGGGATCGCGTGGTCAGGCTCGCTGACTTGGTTGACACATGTCATCGGTTCCCAATTGCGTAGATCGATGCTCATGTTGTTGATCACTGGATTGTCTGGTCCAGACTCGATTATTTACAGACCACCGCCATATAACTGGAATATTGCTGAGTGCGGCGTTAAACAAAGAAACTCACAACACAAGTTAAACATATTAATATGATTGTCAGTTTCCAGTACCTAATAATTACACATGTGTATTGTTGTATTGTACGTGGACCTAAAGGCTTTTTACGAAATATACTTGATTGATTGATCAGCTATAAGTTCATACTCTGTAAATACTGTTCCCAGCATCGGAAGGAAGAAGATGTTTATGTTGGGCGTCCTCTTTCACATTGCTGCTTCCATCTCCATGGCATTCGCAACGAATTTTTCTGTGTTCACATTCCTGATGTTCTTCAACGGCATGTCGAGCACGGCGATCTGGATGAACGGCTTTGTTGTGGGTAAACGGTTTGATGAAATGTTTCAGATAAGCATGCACTACAGTGCCCCAGTGTACATTATGGTGCCATATATACAATATTTTTCTATACTATTATATACCATTTCTCACCAGAAAATTCATACTGACAGTCATTTCATCTTGGTATCGTTTTGTTTCAATATAAATGGTATCTGCAATCTTCAACAGATCTTTTCAAGGATCCACTTTAATATTTCAGGTGTGGAGCTAGTTGGTCCCTCAAACGTCGATGGACTGGTATCATTGTTGAATTTTTTGGTCATCAGGATACTTTATCGCCGTTGGCGCCGCCTACTTTATACGAGACTGGCAACATCTACAGCTGGTTGTGGCAGCGCCGACAGTGCTTTTCCTAGCCTACTACTGGTAAGTGCAGTGTAGTACTAGCTGGATTGCCAAGTATTTGTTCATAGAAAGGGTCGGATGAGTTCCTGTTACCTGGCAATTTGTTAGTCCTCGTGTTCCTGTGATGCGGATGATTACTCGTCATGCTATCAGGGTTGGTTGCCTGGTTGATCTGTAGGCCAACCCGTGGTTAGAATTGATCTTCAGTAACCCATGCTCCTCATCAGAGGAGACTAACGGGATCGGGTGGTCAGGCTCGCTGACTTGGCTGACACATGTCATCGTATCCCAAATGCGTAGATCGATGCTCACGCGGTTGGTCAATGGATAGTCCAGACGCGAGTATTTACAGACCACCGCCATATAGATGGAATATCGCTGAGTGCGGCGTAAAACTAAACGCACTCACGCACTCATTCATTATACAGTGTCACTAAAAGCTCAAATAATAATCCTGCCTGACATCAGTATCACGGGAACCTCATACTATGATACTGCATCATGAACCTCGGACTATAGTGCTGCAATATAAGGTCTCACTTTGGCTCAACGGGATAGACTGAATAGAGGTAACATCTGGCAACAGCAACTTGATAGTAACGGACAGCAAGTTCAGATAAAACACACGCCATTCACTACAAGTGAGTTTAATATGTTTGATAATGATGTACGTATATTACAATATTCTAGAGATTTCATATGGGCAAAAACATAATAATTGTGAATGTGTATATGTTTCAAACAAACATTTAATATCAGTTTTTTCTTCATTAACTGATTATAATAACAGCGAGAAAACAAGTCCGTAATCATAAGCAATTTCGATTAAAAGTCCATTTTGAAATTTTGACTCCTTCAAAAGCTTTTTAGCTGTGATATCAAGTGTTGTCGCGTATAACACACACACACACACACACACACACACACACTATGCACCAGTGACAAAGGAATGCAATGGCTGAACAGTGGTTCAAATTTAGACACAATCGGATGGAGCTGCTTTAAAAAGTTTGCTAGATGTAAAAGGAAAGCTGACTATTCGCTGACTTGCTGAGTGTGGTTTTACGCCGTTTTTAGCAATATTCCAGCAATATCACGGCGGGGGACACCAGAAATGGGCTTCACAAGTTGTACCCATGTGGGGAATCGAACCCGGGCCTTCGGCGTGACGAGCGAACGCTTTAACCATTAGGCAACCCCAACGCCCCGAAAGCTGACTATTGAACAGATGAGTCATTTCTCTTAGTCCATGAGCTTGACCTTGAAAATATGATTTGACTACCCAAATGAGGGACAAACAGCCACTATGAATTTCATATAGCTTAAGGTATGTAGTTTATGGAATCACGTAGGGCTGCACGGTATTACCGGTATACCGGTAAACAGCAATACGACATTGTAACAATTACGTATCGCGATACGTTTATGATGTACATGTACCGGTATACCGACAAAGATATATTTGAGATAACTGTCAACAAAATAACAGAAGAACGCAAACTGCTTGCAGAGAGAGGGAGCCAATGACCTGTAACAGCGGCAGGTACGTGTTATGACACATATGTGTAACACTTTGTTATGAAACCCCTTTACGAACTACCACGTGGGTAATAAATAGTCAATATCATTCTAGTATTGTTAAGGGTGGTGAGGCAGGGTCGCCTCTTTTCTCTTCCATTTTTAAATCATTGCACCAACATTGCCGTTTTATATATCACCGTGATACCTCGCATGTATTTATTAGATACTGAGTGTGTGTACCTTTACATGCTATATTTAATGTCTCCCTATGAGTGAATGGTTGCATGCTTAAAGTTTGCCCGATTTATTTCATGAATGAGAAAAAAAGATATCGTATATGTGAATATAGGTTTGAATGGGCTATTAGCCCGAGCTGTTTTTGATTATATTCCAGGTTTCAAAATGATACAAGAAATATCTTTTCGTAGTTATCGTAGCTTTAACGTTGCATTTTGTATTTACAAAGTATAGGTATGCTTAATTACCCTTGTAGGAATTAGTTGCATCTGTTTATGTAATACTGTGTAGTACATTCCATCTGGGCATGTGTAATTATTTCGGATGCCTGTACTTTTGCCACAATTATTTCATTCATATCAGATGTAAATCAAGGAGTTATCGTCTCCTATAGCTAATTAGGAGATAAACCTAGTGTGTTTGAAAATATATTTAGTCGCCATCAATTCAGTAAAGCATGTCTCTGATTTTCAAACACACTAGGGTTATCTCCATTCTACCATGAACCATTTAAAATCGAACTTCCTCGCTCTGCGGAAGACACTGCGTAATCCGGCATGGGACGAGAGGCGAATTGAACTAGTCTGCGAAGGGAGCGGTAGGTGCCGTTCGTATTTTTTAAACATTACAACATAACAATATTCTGTCCAAAGAAATCAAACTACTGTTTATTCAATGCAATTGTGTAATACCCGAGATCTTGGGGTTTTTTTCATCCCAACTCCACACGACTAAAACCAGCCTATTGTTTTGTGTGCCGTGAAACTGTAACAGCCCCCGCCACACTATAATGGAATCGTCTGACCTACTTATTTTCTTCGAAGTAGACAGTTACGCAACAGTTTGAAATGGCGGACGAGCCAGTGTTTACATTTTGCGAAAGGTTGAAATTTGAAGTGACAGTGGGCAATACTTGACTGACTGTCGAATCTGAACCCTGCAGAATCGAAGAATAGATCCTTTCCTGATCAACCTACCTACCTGTAACTCATCAAAGACTGTTGATTTTTATGACCAGCCGATCATGATTTCACGTACTGCCTCCACCCGGGCATGCGACAAAAGGGTGACAGTGCTGTTGCTTAGTGTACATGCGACTAACTTGTGATTCCTTGGAACTTTGTTTTCTTCGTTTGGGACTGGACTGTGTAGACGAACGTAACAGTGACAACCTTGAGGGGAAGCTGGCAGAGAGCAGAATTATTTTGTGGTCGATGCAACGGGATATGATGGAGTATGACTGTGAGTGGCATAAATGTGGTGTTTCGCCAGACCGTTAGCTCTATCTTGCAAATTTCCCATTCTAAACGGAATTAAATATACCATTTACCAGGTAGGTAAATGTTAAATTATGTTTTGCTGCATATTTTGTATAGATAGGGATGTATTTTTACAAGGCTTTCTGATTTATATGTTAGATATTGTTTTGTTTATGTTTGGGGCTGTATATTGTAACTGAGTTTGAATATTTTTATAATAGAAGGTAATATGATAGTGAGGTTCCCTCGTAATTGTGGGAGGGGGAATCATATAATTGTATTTTTCGAGTTTAAATAAATGTTTTATCAGCATTTCCATCACGTCTGTTGTGTTGATATTAGTCATGTTGGTGGTCAAGCTGAAGTAGTGCGGCAGTGTTCTATACGTGCGCAGTGAAGCGCAATGAAATCAAACGCATTTTTAATCCAAAAATTTCCAATTGCCTATGTGGAATATTCGAAAGTCAGCGTCAAAATCCATGGAGTTGTTTTTATGATCCGCCATCATTGTGGTCAAACGGAAGTAGTTCTCACAATAAGATTTGTCAATGCGCGGTGAAGCGGCCTTACAATCAGATGAGCGTCAATCCACAATTGATGCCGTCTGATTTTTCTGAACAACCAATCAGAATGTAGTATTTTCTTGATTCATGGTAGAATTTGTTTTAGACTAGCATTTCATCTACAAGACGTCATCACCTATTTTAAAATCTTAAGTATTTCGCCAATGAAAGAAAACGTCAGATTTAATATTTGTCTAGCAATCAACTTATTAGCGCATTTACAAATATATTAATTAAACAACCGAACTAAAATATTAAATATATGAGTTTTCACGGAAAACATATGTCTGCATTGATCATTTGTAAGGCATCGTCATAATCAGACATGACGATATTATGTATTCCACACAATGGTGGTTTACATAGTAATTACAGACTGGGACGATATTGTGTTTATAACCATTGTTACAACTTGTGTGTGTGTAGACACGTCATGGTACGTCACCTATAACAATCACAGATCAGCAACCTGCTCTTGTAATATGTGCAAGCATATGAAATTATGTATGTATGTGTCATGACTTATTATACATCTGACAGATTAACTCACATTATTACATTATATTATTATTGATAAAAATATTCATTATGCCTGATAACAACAACAGATGTAAGTTAACGTTCCGTACTCTTTCCGACGAATTTCTCAGTCAAAACTAAGTCTTAAAGAAACTCTCAGTCCACATATAAAATATCATCGCCCAAATTGGTATTCAAGACGCTAACCCATGGTACCTAGTATGGTAATCTACCTTCAGTTGTTGGCAATCTATAGCCTGTTTTTACATTGCCTTGTCCTTTCTAGTTAAAATGTTTTAGATTTGATTACTTAAAGGTTTGAATTGATATCTGTGATACACTAGTAGTTTTATTGTTCTTTGTCAACAGGCTTTTATTTTCTAATTGTATTGATCTATAATATAAATATTAATTGTTCTCGTCACGATGTGGCTGAGATATGGGTTGAATAACATACGCTTCTTCCTCATGCGAAGTGCTGAGGCAGAGGAGGTTGTTGCAGATATATTTGTGACAATTGTCTGAAACGCTCGTAAAATGTCTAGTACCGTACATGCATACTACTTTTGGAATGTGTAATTCCTCGAGTGAGTGAGTGAGTGAGTGAGTGAGTTTGGTTTTACGCCGCACTTAGCAATATTCAAGCAATATCACGGCGGGGTTCGAAACCCATGGGCTTCACACATTGTACAAATTGTAGGGAATCGACCGGGGTCTTCGGCGTGACGAGCGAACATTTCAACCACTAGGCTACCCCAACGCCCCGAAAGCTGACTATTGAACAGATGAGTCATTTCTCTTAGCCCATGAGCTTGACCTTGAAAATATGATTTGACTACCCAAATGAGGGACAAACAGCCACTATGAATTTCATATAGCTTAAGGTATGTAGTTTATGGAATCACGTAGGGCTGCACGGTATTACCGGTATACCGGTAAACCGCAATACGACATTGTGACAATTACGTATCGCGATACGTTTATGATGTACCGGTATACCGACAAAGATTTATTTGAGATAACTGTCAACAAAATAAACAGAAGAACGCAAACTGCTTGCAGAGAGAGGGAGCCAATGACCTGTAACAGCGGCAGGTACGTGTTATGACACATATGTGTAACACTTTGTTATGAAACCCCTTTACGAACTACCACGTGGGTAATAAATAGTCAATATCATTCTAGTATTGTTAAGGGTGGTGAGGCAGGGTCGCCTCTTTTCTCTTCCATTTTTTAATCATTGCACCAACATTGCCGTTTTATATATCACCGTGATACCTCGCATGTATTTATTAGATACTGAGTGTGTGTACCTTTACATGCTATATTTTAATGTCTCCCTATGAGTGAATGGTTGCATGCTTAAAGTTTGCCCGATTTATTTCATGAATGAGAAAAAAAGATATCGTATATGTGAATATAGGTTTGAATGGGCTATTAGCCCGAGCTGTTTTTGATTATATTCCAGGTTTCAAAATGATACAAGAAATATCTTTTCGTAGTTATCGTAGCTTTAACGTTGCATTTTGTATTTACAAAGTATAGGTATGCTTAATTACCCTTGCAGGAATTAGTTGCATCTGTTTATGTAATATTGTGTAGTGCATTCCATCTGGGCATGTGTAATTATTTCGGATGCCTGTACTTTGGCCACAATTATTTCATTCATATCAGAAGTAAATCAAAGAGTTATCGTCCCCTATAGCTAATTTGTTTTAGACTAGCATTTCATCTAAAAGACGCCATCACCTATTTTAAAATCTTAAGTATTTCGCCAATGAAAGAAAACGTCAGATTTAATATTTGTCTAGCAATCAACTTATTAGCGCATTTACAAATATATTAATTAAACAACCGAACTTAAATATTAAATATATGAGTTTTCACGGAAAACATATGTCTGCATTGATCATTTGTAAGTCATCGTCATAATCAGACATGACAATATTATGCATTCCACACAATGGTGGTTTACATAGTAATTACAGACTGGGACGATATTGTGTTTATAACCATTGTTACAACTTGTGTGTGTGTAGACACGTCATGGTACGTCACCTATTACAATCACAGATCAGCAACCTGCTCTTGTAATATGTGCAAGCATATGAAATTATGTATGTTTGTGTCATGACTTATTATACATCTGACAGATTAACTCATATTATTACATTATATTATTATTGATAAAAATATTCATTATGCCTGATGACAACAACAGATGGCAGTTAACGTTTCGTTCTCTTTCTGACGAATTTCTCAGTCAAAACTAAGTCTTAAAGAAACTCTCAGTCCACATATAATATCTTCTCCCAAATTGGTATTCAAGACGCTAACCCATGGTCCCTAGTATGGTGATCTACCTTCAGTTGTTGGCAATCTATAGCCTGTTTTTAACATTGCCTTGTCCTTTCTAGTTAAAATGTTTTAGATTTAATTACTTAAAGTTTTGAATTGATATCTGTGATACACTAGTAGTTTTACTGTTCTTCGTCAACAGGCTTTTATTTTGTAATTGTATTGGTCTATAATATAAATATTAATTGTTCTCGTCACGATATGGCTGAGATATGGGTTGAATAACATACACTTCTTCCTCATGCGAAGTGCTGAGGCAGAGGAGGTTGTTGCAGATATATTTGTGACGATTGTCTGAAACGCTCGTAAAATATTTATTACTGGATCTATATTTCATAGGAAGTGTTGTTACAGTTACCGCCCTTGGTATTTGTTGCTGGCAAACCTGAAAAACATGGATGAGACAGTCTCTGTGAGGCCGCTGTAGATTTATGAAAGCGACAAGACGCAGTTGGAGGCCTTTCACAACCTGAATTGCGACTTTTGTACTTTTGTGTAATTCTGTGACAACGTCATAGTGTAACCTCACGTCGAACCGTATATGCATACTACTTTTGGAATGTGTAATTCCTCGAGTGAGTGAGTGAGTTTGGCTTTACGCCGCACTTAGCAATATTCAAGCAATATCTTGGCGGGGTTCGAAACCCATGGGCTTCACACATTGTACAAATTGTAGCGAATCGAACCGGGGTCTTCGGCTTGACGAGCGAACGTTTCTACCACTAGGCTTCCCCACCGCACCGTTATTCCTCGAAATGTATTCAACAAGAAATGATGTGTGCCAACCAAGGATAAAAAAACATTATTAAACCTGTCATCGGAGAGTATTGTGTTGCCTCTTTCCTTACTATCAGTCACCACCTGCAAGTCTTGTATCATGTGTCACGCTTACAGACAGTCGTTTCCCGAGTTCAGCCTCGACTGTCACAGACTGCCTTGATATAGCTGTGCTGTTGGTGACTCTCGTGTTCAATGACGTTCATTCAAACACACAACACAGCTCTCAAATATATCAACACCAATCCGGTAAGGTAAATGATTTAATGAATACGTCATGACAAAACAAAATCACATTTCAGATGACTAAACTATAATTTGTTTCTGTTCACAATATTTTAGAAATGTTCCACAAATGAGAGAAATGGCGACTGGCATGAACACTGTTTACACTGCTGGATCGTCCTCTGACTCGCTGTCACATACCGCCCTTAGATGAAACGTCTCATCATCTTTTCCTGGACGGACAAAGTCCACAAAACGTGCATCAGACGTTTGATTGGGGCTGAAATATAAAGTTTTGCATTGTCACGCACTTATTTTGTTATTTGTTAGTATGAATTCCCAGCGACCCACGCATGCACCACTAAGGACTGTCGTGTAAGACTCATAAAACTGCTTGAATGCTTCTAATTATACTCCAACAGAGTTAAAAATTGAACGTCTCTGACGACGGAGTGATTATTTACAGTCCGTTGACTCAAAGCAGAATATTTTCCAGCGACAGTAAACAAGTAAACGAAGAAAATATTATCAGTTCGCAATTAAGTGAATTTCACAGATCACGTAAACTGTACCCTTCACGAGTAACAAGATTATGCAACTGAATAAAGAACACTGATTTCAAGTCGTCCTTTGTCAGCAGCCGGTACCAAATGTGGAATTTACCTCTTCATCTTTTCGGCGTCTTCGATTGATTCTGGAAGTTCCTTGTTGAGGGTCTCCGGAAGCAGCAATGCCAGCAGACCAGCTCCGACCATCGAGGCCCCGAATATAATCAGTGGAACAGCTCGCCCAAAGTCCCCTGGAATTACAAGCGCCTGGAATCGAACATGCATAAAGTGTGAAACAGATTTACGTAAAAACAATTTTGATGTTAAACGAAGTCCTCAGAAATTTTCCAGCTAAAAGGCGGCGGTCTGTAAAAATATCGTGTTCGGACTACATATCCAGTGATCAACAGGATGAGCACCGATTTACTCAATTGGGATACAATGACATGAGTCAGCGAGCCTGACCATCCGATCCCTTTAGTCGCCTCTTACGACAAGTATGGGATACTGAAGTCTGACCCGGTACGTAAATTTGTAAACACCATGTTAGTAACAGCGGAATAACTTACCAGATTGGCGATATAGGGAGATATGACTCCACCCAATCTGCCACACACATTCGCTACACTCATAGTTGAGTTCCTGATGACTGTTGGGAACAGTTCGGACGTGTAAAGCCAGACTATGGCAAAACTTGCTGATACGAAGGCTCGACCCACCAGGGCAAGTGCTATGGTCAGCCAGTTCAAAGCTGAAAAAAATGTTTTTTTAATTGATTATACATTCACAACCTCACGCCACGTAATGTTCCAACTGTGGTAGTTTTAAATTATCAAAGATGGGGCAGTGAAACTGGTGCTTGACTTTGAATGAATCATCTCACACACCGGAGGAATCGAATGCAGTCAAGAAACAGGTTATCGAAAAGAAGTAAAGTAAAAATTTTCAGAGCGGTATCTAAGGCTCTAGAGCCATCTGTAAACTCCTCACCTCCAGCTCCATACAGGACAGGAATGATTGTAGAGGTGCCAAAAAGAAGCAAAGTAACCTTTGCAGCTCGGTAGTGTCTTGCTCATGTTGCCTAAGCGACGGGTCATAAGGTAAGGTTCTAGAGACAGACGTAAACTCCTTACATCCAGCTCCATACAGGACAGGAATGATTGTGGAGGTGCCAAAGAAGCAAAGTAACCTTTTGCTGCTCGGTAGTGTCTTGCTCATGTTGCCTAAGTGACGGGTCATAAGGTAAGCTTCTAGAGACAGACGTAAACTCCTTACATCCAGCTCCATACATGACACGAATGATTGTGGAGGTGCCAAAAGAAGCAAAGTAACCTTTTGCAGCTCGGTAGTGTCTTGCTCATGTTGCCTAAGCGACGGGTCATAAGGTAAGGTTCTAGAGACAGATGTTAACTCCTTACCCCCAGCTCCATACAGGACAGGAAATATTGTGGCTGTGCAGCAGATACCGCCAAGGATCATGCACACACAATGTAAGGACCTTCTGCCGGTGCGGTCGAGGAGAAGAATGCAGGCGATGTAGGAGACGACTTCTGTTGTTCCTGCGATGAGGCCGTTGGCGTAGACGCTGCCGCCGAGACTTGCCACATTGAGGCCGAGACCGTAATACCCGAGACTACACACAAGCCTGAACAATACAACGTATAGGCGACATATAGTAGGTAAATCGAGAGTGAGTGAGTGAGGGAGTTTAGTTTTAAGTCACTTTCGCAATATTCCAGCAATATCACGGCGGGGGATACCAGAAACGGGCTTCACACATTGTACCTATGTGGGGAATCGACCTAGGGTCGTCGGCGTGACGAGCGAACGCCTTAACCACTAGACTACCCCACCGCCCCGTATATCGAGAGAATACTATATGAAACGTAAACCTAGATCACAGAAGATCGTTTACAAATTGGCAAACAAAAAGCTATTTCAGTCCACTTATGTTTAGAAAAGCGCTCATCGTTTATTAATGTCATGACATTATGACGTAGATTCGACAGGAGTTCTATATTTATCGGAGTAAATCGTTTCACAGCTCAAAGAATGTATGTAAAGGACGTATCAATTATCCTAACCCTCACATGATGCAACTTGTATATGAGAATTGTGAAGAACTACCAGTGGATTGAGTGTGTGAGTGAGATTTTTCGCTTTGAACAGTATTTTTTTGTAGTCATATCATGGCATGTAAGCTCACGGTGAGAGGGGTGTGTGACGGGTAGCCTAGTGGGTAAAGCGCTCGCGATCGCTTGTCACACCGAAGACCTGGGTTCGATTCCCCGACCTGACTGTAATGTTGGAAGCCAATTTGTGGTGTCTCCCGCCGTGATATTACAGAGGCGTAAAACTGATCTGACTCAGATTCGCTACCTGTTGGAGGAGACCCCAGAACATGGACATTTAGTGATAGATCATCGTTATCGGAGATAATGTTAGAAACGGACCCACGGCCAGGAGAATAGCCAAATTACGGGACGAAAATACAAGTCAAAACATTGATTACACAACAGTCTCGTTTCCTGTTGACTGGGTTCCGTCCTATTGCGCAACTAAGTACAATAACCAGTTCAGAATTTTGAGACCAATTCATTTAACCGGATACATAAATATTAATCAGTATTATTTGATACATCTAAGCACTTGTATATTGCAACACTACGCTCTTATAATCCTTGCAAACATGTCGTGCAGCGTGCTCTGTCGTACAACGAGCACTGACAAACAGAAACCTGGAAATCATGGAAATCTCAAAACGAGGCTCTGCCGCTAGAAACGTTTGGCGGTCTGGTACGGACTTGATATTATCTCAATCACATTGTGCGTTGCAGAACTACATTGAATAAGCGCAAAAAACACACAACAGGTGTAACCAGTGAACCAAATGCTTTGTGAATCATTCTACGACCTCATCAAACTGGGGCAATCTGTGACGTCTTAGTTGAGGTCATGCTGCCTACACCTCGTCATAAAATATAGAAATTAAAGTTTAAAATTAAAATTCATTTGTAAATACCATTTTCTTATGAAACAAGTATTGGAATTCAGTGTAACCATAGTTGTTTGTGATGTCTATTTTCACTTTCACACGAGAAATTCGGATCGGCTGAAAAGTAGGTCATTGTGGCATGTCTGAAAAGGTTAATGACTCATGTTTCGGTTTGGCACCAGGAATGCTGGCGTGCTTCAATGACAGAGACACACCAGTACACACCGTCCAAATGGCTTTGACATACCAGTTGATGAACACAATGACGCATCGGGATACCAGGGTGAGGCTTGTGAATATTTTCCATATTGGTTCTGATTTTGTACTGTCAAGTACATTTCCACTGAACAAGTCAGAGCTCAAGGTTACTTTGTTGACCTTTGCAGCACGTTGTAATATCCCCTCCGCCATCTCATATTTCCTCTTTGTGATCAGCCATCGGGGAGATTCGGGAATAAACCTGGAGACGATGCATGAATGATAAATGGGTGATAGAGTGTTATTGCATCAGTGCATTATTGTAACTGATTATACGTATCTAAGGGCAGGTTGTAAAGTTGTAATCTGTCATCAAAGAAATTGTTCCACATCAACGCAGACAGACTTTTGGGAGTGTGAATTATCGTCGACTCCACATTCAGCAATTTTGAAGCTATATCACAGAGGTCTACTGAGGAATGAGTGAGTTTAGTTTAACGCCGCACTTAGCAATATTACGGCTAAAAGGCGGCGGTCTGTAAATAATTGAGTCTGGACCAGGCAACACAGGTATCAACAGCATTAGCATCACTCTACGCAACTGGGATATGATGACATGTGTCAATCAAGTCAGCGAGCCTGACCACCCAATACAGTTAGTCTCCTCTGATGAGGAGCATGGGTTACTGAAGATCAATTCTAACCACGGGTTGGCCTACAGATCAACCAGGCAACCAACCCTGATAGCATGACGAGTAATCATCCGCATCACAGGAACACGAGGACTAACAAATTGCCAGGTAACAGGAACTCATCCGACCCTTTCTATGAACAAATACTTGGCAATCCAGCTAGTACTACACTGCACTTACCAGTAGTAGGCTAGGAAAAGCACTGTCGGCGCTGCCACAACCAGCTGTAGATGTTGCCAGTCTCGTATAAAGTAGGCGGCGCCAACGGCGATAAAGTATCCCGATGACCAAAAAAATTCAACAATGATACCAGTCCATCGACGTTTGGAGGGACCAACTAGCTCCACACCTGAAATATTAAAGTGGATCCTTGAAAAGATCTGTTGAAGATTGCAGATACCATTTATATTGAAACAAAACGATACCAAGATGAAATGACTGTCAGTATGAATTTTCTGGTGAGAAAATGGTATATAATAGTATAGAAAAATATTGTATATATGGCACCATAATGTACACTGGGGCACTGTAGTGCATGCTTATCTGAAACATTTCATCAAACCGTTTACCCACAACAAAGCCGTTCATCCAGATCGCCGTGCTCGACATGCCGTTGAAGAACATCAGGAATGTGAACACAGAAAAATTCGTGGCGAATGCCATGGAGATGGAAGCAGCAATGTGAAAGAGGACGCCCAACATAAACATCTTCTTCCTTCCGATGCTGGGAACAGTATTTACAGAGTATGAACTTATAGCTGATCAATCAATCAAGTATATTTCGTAAAAAGCCTTTAGGTCCACGTACAATACAACAATACACATGTGTAATTATTAGGTACTGGCAACTGACAATCATATTAATATGTTTAAGGAACGCAGTGACAATGCTTCCTTACTGTAATTAAAAAAAAATGTTGTTGAAAAATTGGTACATGATGTGTTTCGATGATTAAAGCTAACATAGAAATCTTTTTACTTATTTATCCCTGTAAGTTTGCTAAATGAAATTGTCATCTCTTCCGGATTACTCATATGTGCACAATTTACAACTTCAGATACATGTATATAGATTATATCTCCTATATAATATGAATACAGTTATCTTAGATGTACTCGGTAAAACGTTATTGGTTAATAACACACCGGCGTTTGGTATATAGCTCTATTAAACACCATATGTATGCAAGCTGAATGATTTACTTTTCGTTACGCTTGTACAAAATTACATGCATTTTATTATTGGCTATCTAACAATTGTACTTAATCTCTAAGAAATACTAAACGTTTCAGAACTGGTTAAATTGTTTACCATGGCAAATGCTGCTCATCATGTTCTTGAAGTTCTATTATTTAGTTGAAAACAAATCACTTCTTATCTTACATATGTGATATTAGTGTGTGACATGCAACCTGCTAGCTGCTATAGTGAGTGGTCATTAGAAAGCCAAGAACGACCATCTACTTACAAGTCTGCAGGAGGGATGACAACAATACTCCCCACCAAGGATCCCAGCATAAACATCATCTGTATGTGCGACTTGTACAGCTTCATGTCACACACCCAGTCAAACTGAAAAGGAATGATTGAGTGTATCAACTTATCAAATTGCTTACTGAGTGGCGGGGTAGTCTAGTGGTTAAAGCGTCCGCTCGTCACGCTGAGGACCCGGGTTCGATTCCATACACGGTTGAATGTGTGAAGCCCGTTTCTGGTGTCCCCGCCGTGATATTGCTGGAATATTGCTACAAGCGGCGTCATACTAAACTTACTCACTCACCCACTAAGTGTTGTCTGAAATCCTCGACTAATTACGTCCTTGAAATTTACCACTTGAAATCCACGAAGCACGTGTATTACGCTGAAAATCAATGAGCATCATCAGAGCGAAACTGGGATTTGAACCGAGGTATGGCGGACACTGGTGTGGCTAATATTGTGCCTTAGGCAAGAACAGAAGATTTGACCATCATCCTTGCTACCTAAATATGACACGACTCGAAGGTTTCGATAACGTAGAAAACTTTTACATGTGTTCAGTTATATTCGACTTTAAATATCGACATAGTTGAATGATTGCTAAATGAGGCGTGTTATTAAAAGGAAACAAACATTCAAAAACGACAACTGGGCGTCTAAAAAACCTGGAATATCCACGTACAATTGACCCCGATCTCTCAAGTTGCGCTATACTTCAGATAGAGGCCAAATATGCCGTTTATTTCGGAATTGTTTATGGTACGTTTGATGACGCAGTGTTCGGAACATGCAAATGCCCGTGACATCATTGGTTTGTGTGTAGATTTGTGAACCGGGTCTTGTTACGGTGGCAGATTACTTCATTACGCTGCGTCTTCTCATTAACACAAGGAAGTATAATTTTGTTCTTCTGCTTTCACACATCATATATACATTACTGATTATTCAGAAACAATACCGTTGTCACGATGTTCGAGCCAAACGTCTCTTCATCATAAACCCATCGATTACACGAGTGTGTTGTGTTGCTGCTTTGAAGAGCACCCGTCCTTGATTTGTTGGTGACGTCATATACGTGACAAGACGAATAGAGTTGTGTCCCCTCATCTGCTGCAGGAATAGCGGCGTTGACAGCACGCGCATGCTGTTCCCCTTGTATCAAATAGGTGTCGTTATCTAAACCAGGAACTGCGCACCTGCAACAAAATATCCCAAGATCAACTCATTTTTATGATTTGTTGACCACACAAAACTGTGAACTCAGAGTGCACTTGGTAAAGACCTTAATGTGCGTTTTACGAATAATTGCAGTAGTGATAAATAATTATCGTCGACTCCACATTCGGCAATTTTGAAGCTATATCACACTGGTCTACTGAGGAATGATTGAGTGAGTGAGTTTAGTTTTATGCCGCACCCAGCAATATTCCAGCTATATGGCGGCGGTCCGTAAATAATCGTATCTGCACCAAACAATCCAGTGATCAACAGCATGAATATCGATCGACGCAATTGGGATACGATGACATGTGTCAACCAAGTCAGCGAGCCTGACCACCCGATCCCGTTAGTCGCCTTTTACGACAAGCATGGGTTACTGAAGACCGAATCTAACCCGGATTTTCACGAGTTAATAATTGAAATAATACATATATGGTAAATAATCTTGTATAAGAAAATATGTCGGTAGCATGACGATTAGCACAATTTCAAATTCTCGTTTTTTCCTTTTTAAATTCTTTTACGTTGTAAATGGTGACCCTTCATAAATCGACCATTGTCACAGTTCTTGACGTTCGTCCATTTTTAGTAAACGTTTATGATTATGACGGGTACAGGTTGGGCTTACTTGCAGTGTTGCTTACAACCTGTGAAGAGTGGGGATGTTCTTATGGGTTGACTGAATGCTGCCCTGCTTGGACATTTGTATCTTGTTCTTATTTCATATATTCAAGTATATATAGTGAGTGAATGAGTTTGGTATTACGCCGCTTTTAGCAGTATTCCAGCAATATCACGGCGGGGGACTCAAGTGTATATAGGCGCTCTGTGTAGTTATGTGATCTGGGGATCACAGCATGAACATAGAGGTTGTTTGAAGACAATGATCCCATATACCTGTGATCCGGGACGCCGAGTGTGAAGACGGTTACCATGATCTGTATTCCCAAGGACACCATCGGAATACAGAGAAGGACGTACAACCTCTTCTGGTAAGTTCCAAACTCACCGAGGTCTTTCAGTATGTCATCATACTTCATAATGGCTCTGGAACAGATAGGAAAGTTATGGATAAACACGAAGACTTAGTAATAACAATTAACATAAACCGTTATTGCGTTAATATGAACATAACTTGAGTATAGGAAGCATGTCACGTAGACGACCCTGCTTTCGACTTAACACCAGTGAACTGTAAGAATCCCGTGATGTCATTATAGGAAACGCTTTAACAACCACCTATAGCCGCAGGTGTGGTTTAAATACTACTGAAGTACCAAACACGAGTGATAAACTCTTTATCATCTAATGTCGTTCTTAAATTCTGTAGTGGAAAATATGTTCTTATCATTCACAAACATTAGCTTACCATTGCAAGTTTTCCTATGATGTGCGCATTAACCTATACTAGTATAACGTCAGAAGGTCACTGATCATTTCAGTCGGAGATTGACGACAGTCTGCTGAAACGGTAGTGTCCCATTTTTGACAGCGTCTTAGTCACTGATCCGTTAAGGGCTGTCTTTTTCATTTTGTCCAGCTCTTTACAAGAATATTCAGAAATTAGGACTCTCGTCGTTCTACCAGTCGCGTGAAGATGTCGAAAGATGGTTTCGAATGTGTATTGGTTTGGCCTTCCTGCCTTTCTTTCAAGAACAAACTGTCAAAATTGGGACTACCGGTAAGCTCACTGTCAAAATTGGGACAACTGGCTAGATCAATTACAGAAGTGTGAATTTTAATTGTCAAAACTAGGACTGTCAAAATCGGGACTAAACGTGCTGAAACATGTTTCTTTGACAGTGGCATAGCAACAAACAGAATAGGCAAAATAACAATTGCCCATGCCTATTGCGTCTACTTGCGTTTCTGAATAACTGCCCATTATCAGTGTATGAAATAATAGATTTCTGACGGACGGTCTAAATTCACAGCTAGCCAGCCCGATAGTCTGTTAAATTTGTTAGATGTTCCATACATCTGAGTAATATATTTGGTCTGGTTAAATCCATTTTGGGCTGGTAACATTTTGAAGTAACCAGCCCTGATGTCTGACTGGATTTTGGGCTTATTTCATACACTGCCATTATCAAGGGGAAGCTACTCTAACCCTAGTATCTGAGACATCACGTTTGCGTGCCCACGTCATGAGAAAGTTATGAAATACAACTAGATTTACACATAGCGACTAAAGGAAACAGGTAACAATTCGAACATATACCGATGGAAACAAATAACGAAACATATAAGGAAACATATGAAAGTACAATTTTTCCTTTATTCTTTTCCGGGTTTCCTTGCAAGCTGTGTACTGCACTGTGAATCAAAATCTGGGGAAAGGGGAACAATGCGATGAAGAGATATTACTTTATTTGTTTCCCTCAGTTTATTTCGGCAAAATCCAGCTGTTTCATAATAGAGGAAAGGACCCAAGCGGCAGAGGTTTTCAAACACAGCAATGGCAACAGATCCACGGATGTTGTGTCCTCGCTAAATTGTTTCGCAATTCGATTCCCAAATTTGTAAATTATCTCAGCTACGTCTGAGTTAAACATTAATTTTCAGCATCTTAGGTTATTGTTTCACAACATTTTTTATAACAACCATCCGACTAGTTTCTCTACGTAGAATTCTAACTTGATGACCGCTAGGAATCATAAAGTGGAGTGATTCCTTGATAACAACTGAAAAAGTAAAGGACTGAGACTACATACCTGTCGTACACCAATCGAGCCGGTAAAATACTAAGATAACATGTTCTCCATTACCAGCAGAAACTGAAGACTAAGCATAATTATACACTTTCTGAATAATTCTAAAGAATGACCGCGAATGCATATGTTCAATAGCAAAGGCATGACCTGGTTTCTATACATGATTTCAAATGCTTTAGTAATGGCGCTGTAATATTTGCATTTTACTTCTAACGTATTGCGGTACTAATGCAGTGTCTGCAATGAATGATGTTACTAGGCTATTTTCCTCAATCGTTTCCTCATCGACGGCTGAGTGAAATCTGTTCCCTACATGTTACACAAGACCGGTTTGCAGTCTGTTTGGCCAATAAATCAAACAAATAGTAAGCAAAAGGAAATCATGCGCGGCCATTGACCGTTGTTCACCAGACCAGATACACAGTTTATGTTCGGGTGCAGGTGTTCTAGGAACCAGTCAACCTACTCGACGTGAACACCTTGTAGTAGAACAGTAGTGAACAGTAGTAGTGCCAAGGGAATCCCTAGTGTTACCTAATTGTTGCAGGTTGCAAGTGTTTGCGATTAATCAAGCGCTTGTGTCACTTGACTTTCAGTTTCCCCAAAATGAGTCACTGCAGGAGATAGCTGATACGTCGATGATCGCTCGACACACTTTTGCTGATGATGACAAAAGAGATCTTCAATAGCAATCATCTAGTGGGGATAAGTGTAGTGACACATATTTTATAATAACAATATTTTTTATATTTTACTGAAATTATTTTTTGTACAGGTTTCTGTAACCTTTAGGTTCGTAAATGGAGTTTGATCGGCCAATGATGCCCAACCAGAACGATCGCGAAAGGATTTTGATCGGAATATGATGCTAACTCTACTGACCGTCATGGATTAAATAGTCGGATCAAAAGCTAAGGCAGAGGATAAAGTCTGGTGTAAACTTCCCTAGCCCGTTCACTAGGGTCGAAGATGCATTTGTGAAGCGGGTGCTGGGAAGTAACCTAGCGCTACTGAAATATATAATTATGCTTGGTCACTCATATAGCGCTGAACTAAACGTCGCAGGGACATGCTCTAAGCGCATACAACATGCTGGAGATAACCCAAGCTGCCTGTGAGGCGCTAGATGGTTAATAGTCACATGACTTATACCACCGGGTACTCATTTTCTGCTGGGTGAAGAGAGGCAATTTTGAACAAACTCACTTGCCTAAGGTGTGACCACATAGGTGCTTCGTTGTGGGGCAGGATAGAAGTCCTAGGAAATCTAAGGAGTCAAACTGCCAAACACGGTAACCCAGCCAAGGACTATACGTGACAAACGTTGCATAACTTCAACTGATTTGTGACCTGAGTTCTGTGTACAAGACCTCATATATTTGCGCTATGGGTTAGATGCATTGTTGCCAAATAGAAGACAGCAGGATTTTTTCATTTCTTTATTAGCTCTACATTTCCACCGAACTATCTTATCGTATATAATGGACAATATCATGACAAAGGTTATGCACAAGGTTCTTGGGTGATACGGCCACTAGTAGTGATGAGATTGGCCGAAAAGTCAGGGCAGAGTAATGTTGAGAAGATCTTGAAACAGCCCTGTTATTTGCGAATAAGTTGAAAAGAAATTGACATTACTATCTGGAGGATCCACAGGGGGTTATATTCCTTATATAAACTAAACGTCCTATTTGAGGAAACATGGACTAGACATGTATCATTAAATGACTAAAACATCAGTGGTGATAGTACATCATAGTTGGTTGGTTGGTGGGTTGGTTGTTTAACGTTGCACTCAGTAATATTCTAGCCATAAGGCGGCGGTCTGTAAATAATCGAGTCTGGACCAGATATTCCAGTGATCAACAAGCATGGGTTGAGATCATCGATTTCACGCAAGACAATTGTTACATACAATGACATGTGTCAACCAAGTCAGATGAGCCTGACCACCCGATCCCGTTAGTCGCCTCTTACGACAAGCATGGGTTACCGAAGATCAATTCTAACCTGCATCTTCACGGGTAGTACAGTATAGACAATCAAACCGAAATACATCCAGAAAATGTTGTACATTAAACGATTGGCTGTACCCGTTTGCATTTACATGATCTATTCTATACATTGCCCTTTCTGTCTGTCGTCACAGAGATCGACGTGCATGGTGACAATGCCCTTTTTGGTATTATGGCGAGCTACACCACCCGATAACATTTTTTATCTCAGGTTGGGATTGTACATTATAAAGATTGGGATAGTACAGTTTTAATTACAAAATCATTCATTCAGTTAATGAGTTATTGAATATACATATATTGCAATTCTCACACACGTATTTGTAATGTGACACACACTGACAGGTATACATTAACATGTACATTTTTTTCTTAGCAATTAGTAGTCTATTCCTAATGTGGCGCCTGTTATATTTAATGAGGCGACACTCATATACTGGTCATTTCGCTTAACTTAATACAGTTGTTGGCCAATGCAATCAACACATGTAATGGCCACATAAACAGGAAATATACTACTAACAGGTGTCCATGACAAACAGTCTGCGGTCGATTGAACTTTTGAACACATGCTTTTCAAAGCTGACATTGCATGTTCAACTCTACTAATAACATTACACACCAATTCTCACAGAGAATGCCCAATTTGAAAGACTCAAATCGTAAAAAAATAAAGACAATATTTCTGTCACTTGTTGTTGCTGTTTTATTGACGAAAGTGTCACGAACGAAAATCAGAAATTGTAGCACTCAAGGGGAGCTTGTAAAATTTCCATCACATCTCATACAATACCACCCTACACAATCGTTGTAACTACGTGACTGTTCTTTATGTTGGCTGCATAACACATTGAAGGGAGATATCATTCACAAAGTTCAGTCGTTAATGCCAAAGTTGTGTTTCGTTAAGGAAACAACATTACATGTAACATCCTCTCCCACTCAGTTGAGTTTGTTAGCATTATAACAATAAACTTGATCAGGTCAAAGCTCTTGACAATATAACTTTATGTTATACTGTTAAATGCAGTTCTTTACGCAAATACTGGCCAATGCGACATCGTCTTTTGTTGGTTACCCAGCCACGTTGGCATTTCTGGGAATATAATGGCTGATCTTACTGCCAAGGCAGCACTCAACAAATCTGTGACACCACTTCTGATCCCGTACTCTGATTACAAAGCTGCTATTAGATCTTATATCCGTGATCTGATGCAAAAGAATTGGGACACCCAAGTAGGTATCAATAAATTACATGCAATAAAACCAACTATCGGTTACACCTACTTTGGTTGTCAGTCCAGATTTGAAGAG